GCAAGTGACTAATATAGTAACTTGCCTATAATGCAGAGGAACTATCAATTAATTCTTTTTTGAAGACATGCTCTTGTAACTCATGTTCCCTTTTTATAGCTCAGCTTTTTCTTTTTGTACAACATGGACAGTTTTTTTTTGCATTCTTTCAAAACAGCAGAACTTCCACCACAAATTAAACACAAAGCTTCCCCATTACTATAAATACAAAAATAAGATCTTTAATTATAGACAACCTCAAGCAACTAATGTTGGAAAAGTGTGCTCATTACTTACACTTAGAAGATTACATGCCAAAGAGCAGAATCACATGAACTTTCCAAAGAATGATATTTCTGTCTGACAGGGAGCTGATGCAGTTCTGCTCACTCATGTCAACAGTGCACATTAGAAAAACCTTGACGTCTACTGCAGTTAACATGAAACTTCACTGGAGTCATGTGCTCAGTTCAGTAATAAACACAATGTAAACATCTTGATGTGGGCTGAATAATGCTTGTAAAATACATTACAACAGAAATTTTGAAATAATATTGAGCTCAAACATGTTTTCGTAGAAACTCAATAGTAGTGTCAATACTAAGTTCTGAACTCCTTTTGAACTATTTATAGGCAGACTTCCTCTGCCCAAACTAGGATGCACATGTAGAGTAATTAATAATGTCTGTCAGTTGTTATGAGCAGTCACACACTTCATTTAGGTAATTGACTGCTAACATACTAAAACACTGAGGATTCTTAGCCACATGTTTGTAGTGACCATTGTTGACACCACAGTCCTACCAAATAATGATCTCACTGCTCAAAATCAGACTGATTGAGAACACAGAATTAAACAAATACTATAATACTGAATCGCAGGGCCCGGGATGTTTGCCTCAGTGTGCTGTGCCCTAGAAATGACTCTGGTTGTGAGTTACTGATACATTAAAAGGGCCACACGAAAATATATCATGGGTCACATGCAGCCTTTTGCCACAAGCTGAACACTCTGGCATAGGGTCTTATGCTCCTAAGCCATCAAATCTGAATAATACTTAATTGCTAGATATTTTTGTACTTCCTAATCCCAGCTTCCATTAGGCTCATTTGTAAACATACTTTCAATAAATATTTTTTTTAACAGCAGTTTTACATTCGTGGCTTGTAATATTCCTTCTTATCTTGTTGTATTTTTTGTGCACTGTTTATAATAGCATTTGAGAAAATGTGATTTCCATAAAATATAATGTGGAGGTTACTGGATGTCAGTGATAATGTTTTAAGCCTCTGTCTGTGTGTGTCCCAAGCCTTTAGATGGAGGCAGTATGTTCCTCTGAAATGCTGATGGTCACTAACTAGACTACATTTTGTCAACCCAGAAGACTGCTATATGAATTGTCACCATCATCAAAACCTTAAATCTTTGATAGTATATTTGGTAGCTTTAAACTTTAACATATGGGATTTTTTTTGTTTGTACTTTGAGACAGAGAGTTCATATACCATATATCAGCATATTATAATAAACATATTGCAGTATGTATTTAATACGTAGAATTTTGAGCTATTCAAATAAAAACTAGATTGTTAAGAATGAACTGGTTTACAATTTTTTTTAAAAACACCTTTAGATGTGTAGTTATGTTGTGTTCTTATGCAATTAATTTGACTGTATTCATGCATCTTACTATTATTTGTTTCTGATTTTGAGAAATGTGTGCCACAATCTTTACATTGTTATTGTATATGATAATAGAATGCTAATGTGTAATGGTTGGCACTTGTGTCCAAGATATTGGAAGTTTCAGAGAGTGAATTTGTGTTTCAGCTGTTAGATTCTACCGCAAGAACGTTTCTGTTAATATTCTTGTAATGTGTTTGCTACATATATTAGGGCATATAAAATCCAGAAGAGAGAAAAGAAGGATTTCTGTGCCACTGATGTAATCTATTGGAACAGAGCTGACGCCAGCTACGAATTGTGGCATATCACTGTTCAACTTTGCATTGCATGGTTTCCATTTTCCAGCAGATACCTACACATACGTGTATTATGTAATAAAATATCTTCTTCTGATTTAGGCATTGAGTCATGATCTGTTCCAAAACAAAAGCAATCGTTGCTGTTTAATTCCTTTAGTCTTTTTGAGTACGTAATTTACCCTGAACATGTTGCCAGAATGATGCAGAGTAAGGTCACTCTTGGGGCTGCCATCTTCTTGTATGACCCAATTAATTGGTGTATTATTATCCCACCTCTTGGTGGGTTTCCTCCTCTGCCTAGTCTATCTGTTAAGTGTCTCGCCTTCATGACCATTCAAACCATTTCAGAAATGGTTGCAGCCCCTCCTTATGTGGAGTACTGATGCTGCTATTTCCTGTAACCCTGGGTTGAGGCTTTAAGCAAGTACTCTCTCTTGAAGTTAGGAGGACTAAGAACTTTCCTGGGTGTGGATGACTCCCTTGAGCTGTGGTTAACTTAGACGAGAACCCACATCGGCTACCCTGCTGATAAAATTACTCAAAATATCATGTACCGAACTATAAGAGGAGTCCCTCTTTGACTACTTGTGGTAAAGAACTCTGAATGCCCTGAACCATACATTGTGCACATTATGGTACAAGTGTTGTTCTGGGAATTGAAGATAAAGAAGAAGAAGAATTTGAGGTTCTCACAGCTGTGATTATGAAGAATTCTGTTTTCTGTGATATATCGCTGTGTAGTCCGTTATCAACCAGTGTTTTGGAGCATGAAAGCAGGTGGCAATTTTTTGCTTGGCTTATTCCTTGACCCTGAAGTTGAAGGTGACATTTTCCTCAAAAGTGTCAGTTAACTTTCAATGGGCTGCATGGTGTTGTATCCCAGAAGATAGAACTCTTCAAGAAGAAGAATGCCATCTATACATCAGATTAACATGTACTAAAGCTGTCCCTCTAACAGGCCGTGGAGGCCCATAGGGTCATGAAACATTGAGGCTCCCACATTTTCTAGACAGGTGGCTCATGTGCCAACTACCCTTTATTTCTCTTAGAGGCTGAGTCAACCCAAGGGCCATAGTACTGGAAGGATTAGGTCAATTTAAAAATCCAGTGACTTCATCGGGAATTGAACCTCTGACCTTCCGGCTTGTAGCATAGTGCCTCTACCATTTACTGGATTTTCAATAATACCAATGGCATTACCAAAACACTGAACCATATCATAATGAACTGCTGCTGGACGAAGGCAAATGTGATTCATCTGGTATATACACTGGTCAATGGTATTTAACATGGATTAGTACAATTGGTACAGTCGATGTCTGGGTACTAATGACTATGTCCTGGTGTATCTAGCTGCTGACTTTCAATGGTCCATGGTACTTGCCTTGTGTGCATGTGAAATGGGCATAGATAATAAGATGGGTATGAACAAGGGAGTATGGTCCTCTGAATTCCTTCAGTTATTTTATTTCAATAATATTATTCTGTTCAGTATAGAAATTGTTACAATGAACATATTGTCGCGTATTGGGCGTATATCACGACAAATAACTTCACGCCGTATTTTATATAGCGAATTTTATTTCACATTCGCATTTACAATCACCCAAATTACAGATTTACGGTTACTGCTATCTGCAGTATCACAATTAGTACACTCCAAATGCCAGAATACAACTGACTAGTTGCTGGCTAACTCAGAACTAACTCGGAGGTAGCTCGAGGACTCACTCGGCGGTAGCTCCAGGACTGACTCGTAGGTAGCTCCAGGACTGACTGTGAATAGCCTTCGCTGCTCCTCATGTAGCCTCGATTGGACAATACAGAGAATGGCCACGTAATAAGCACCCTTGTTGCCTGGCGCTGTGTTGCTAGTATCGCTAGCGGTAGTAACTGCTGTTACTACCGTAACAATCCTGTTGCGTCACCGTTACGTTACCATGCGGAGGAGGGGGAGGGGAGCGCTGACTCACCCGCCTTGTCACTGCTGGTGGGGGGCGGGTTCTCCTTTGCGCAACATGTCACACTATTTTAGATTTTCAAGGTTCATTACATATCTTCAGTTATTTTATTATTTATGCCACAGTATTATTTTCAGTATTGAACTTTGAAACATGAGTATCTTTCAGGATCATGAGCTTTGTTATAGTTCTGCAATTAATATATTTCTTTTCATATATTAAATGCAATCTTAATCTTGTTAGCAAGAGTGTATTTCAGTTTCTTGACTTTTGTCATATTACTGAAATTAATAATAAATGGAAACCTCATTATTATTGCTTGCTGTACATGTTTTATAATACAATAATGTAACTGAAAAACTATGTTCTGTATTGCTATTATGTTTAAGATGTGGGCAAGGTTATGAAGGCGAATACTCTGATGGAAACAGAATTTTCTTTCAGTTAACCCACCATCAACTTTCCTAAACACAAGTATTCTCTGTAAGTTATAGTTCACAGTGTGCATTGCATTTCAGTAAAGTGTTGTGTTGATATAAATAAAATGTTCATACTCTACAGGTACCGGTGAGAAAGTTTCTCCTGATGGATATGAGTGAAGTGATATTAAATTCAGTATAAAAAAAACAATGGAGTAAGAACCGGTGCAGTACAAGAGATTGGTTTGCAAAATTCTTTATCGCTGTTGTGAGCTAGTGTTTCTGTGGGTTGGGAGGCTGTAACACTACTTTTACATCCATTACTTTCACTACTGAAATTAACTTATTTTATTATATTGTATACCTTTATCAGTATTGTATTACAAATGTGTATGCTGTTGGATGACAACTGTAATTCTTAGTTGCGACTGTAACTAGGACGACCTCCACATCCACATGAGAATGTACTCTCGACAGGATTTATGGAAGGTGAATGAATGAACAACGCGCATAGGCCGATGCTATGGTAACATGCCTTCTTACCGATCATGCTCTCGGCACTGGCAGTGGTGATGTTGTAACAATTGACTTGAATCTGCGTAGAGGTGGCAGAAGTAGTATTCTCGCGCGCACTCTTGAACACCCGTGGAATCGCAGCGGCCATGTTGCCTGGCAATAAAATTTGGTTGTCTAGGTTATATGTAAAACATTTTGAGTGTTGTTAAGCTAATTTTGATTGCGAAATGTAGGAAATGTAGTTGGCAGTCTTTGAGTTAAACCACGTGGAAATATGTGAACGCGAGGCTACACCTATGCTCAAACCGTCAAGATGTCAGGTTCACCTGTTATGAACTTGTTTGAGGAAAATGATTTGGTTAAAGTTTGTGCTCCCATGGTTCGTTATAGCAAGTAAGTGGCCTAAGATATTTTTGCGTGGAATTTTGTGAGTGGTTGAGCATCCTTTGGCTAGTCAAGGAGAAGGAGGAAGTAACCATGACCTATGTCGCTGAACTACGATGACATTTGTGTAGTTGATGTTTCAGCCAAGGTCCAAGCTTATAGTTCCCGAATACAAATCAGAATTAACAGCTTGAGCCAGCTTGTTCACTTGGTATCTTCTTGTATAGAAATACTGTACTGTATTGAATTGAATTGAATTGTAACATATTGCAAGACGATGTTTATTCACGGTTCCTGTATAAACATGCCATGGGTTTGTATGTACTACACATTTCAGTCTATTACGGCCATCATGTACATATAGCTCTTACAATCACAGTTTTTATCTGATTGTAAGAGCTCTCTGTATCTGATGATGGCCACAATAGGTTGAAATGTGTAGTACATGCAAACACATGGTGTGTTTATAGAGAATTGTGTGACTGAATAATAAACATTTTTTATGTTTATCAGCTAACATTTGAACAATTCAGTATCTACAGATTATTCCCATATATATTTCATTGAGAACCCCTATGTAGGTGGTATGACGTGTGAAGTAAATCTGCTATCTTTGGCTTGAATACTAAAGATAAAAAATTCAAGGCTAATTTGACAAATATACCTGTGAGAGAATATGGGTTAGAACACTTTTTCTTTTTCAGACAATAAATCCTTACACAATCAGAGCAACCATATGCCTTTGACTTCTATATTTAATCTGTCACTAAGTTCTGGCATTTTTCCAAATCAAATGAAGATTGCAAAAGTTCGTCCTATTTTTAAGAAAGGTCAGAAACAAAATATTGCAAATTACAGACGAATCTCAATTGTGTCTGTTTTTTAAAAAATTCTTGAAACATTGATGTACAATAGGGTTGTAAATTTCTTAAATAGATTCAGTCTGATATCAAATGTTGAAAATGGTTTTAGAAATAATAAATCCACGTTTACGGCAATTCAGACTTTTATTGGAGAAACAACTGGCCTTTGGTATATTTCTGGATCTATCAAAGGCTTTTGATGTTATTAATCATAACTTGCTGCTTGCAAAGTTGGAACCATATGGACTGAGAGGAATATCTCATGCATGGACGAGATCGTATCGTACAGATAGATCACAGTTTGTTGAAATTCACTATATGGATCAGAAGACTTCTAAAATGAAGACAGTTACCTCAGTCCTTAAAGCAATTAAATATGGTGTACCTCAAGGTTCTGTTTTGGGACCCCTTTTATTCCTATTATTTATAAATGATCTGCCCCAAGTTATACATAATGCAGAGGTAGTACTGTTTGCTGATGATACAGATATATTAATTACTGGGGGAAAATATTTTATCATTAAATGAAAAAATTCAAAATGTAAAGACTCAGTTAGAAAAATGGTTTTATGAAAATTGTTTAATAATAAACATGGATAAGTCAAAGGTATTATTTTTTGGGGGAAGTAGATCTATTCCAAGTGCCAGACCCCTTTTTTATATAAATAATAAGGTGGTGGTTTGTTCAGTGGATGTAAAATTTTGGGGTATTTGCATTACTGAAGATTTAAGTTGGGCAACCCACACCCAATATGTGTGTCAAAAAGTTAGCAAGACTACATATTTGATAAAATCCCTACGGGACTCAGTGAGCGAAACTGTTTTAAGAAGTGTGTATCTTGCAAAATATGAGTCCATGTTGAAATAGGGTATTATTTTTTGGGGTGGTGTGCAAAGGGACTCTGAAACTCTATTTAAACTGCAGAAAAAATGTGTAAGGGTGATAAAAGGTGTTAAAATAGAGTTTCCTGTAGAAATTTGTTTTGTGAATTAAAGATTTTAACTGTTACTTCCTTATAAATTTTTGAGATCCTATGTTTTATAATAAAAAATCAAATTTATACCACCCAGTATTCTGATGTTCATGGCTATAACACTAATCATAAACACAGTTTGTATGTACAATTTTGTAATACTGAGCATAGCACGAGAGGGGTGATTAGTATGGGAACCAAAATATTTAATGGCCTTCCAACTGAATTAAAGAATGTAATAAATTTTAATGTTTTTAAGAAGAAACTTAAGAATTATTTGTTGTGTAATGTCTTCTGTTCTCTTCAAGAATTTTTTAATAATTATTGACATGGACTGCTTGTTGATAAATCTATCTATATGTTTAAAATATTTATTCTTACGTCTTTTTTGGAGTATTTATTCTTAAATTAAGTTAAAAATATAATTTGAAATGTATTGCTGTATTTTTCACTGTGTGAATATTATGTTATTTTTTATTTATGCTATTTTTGATGTGAGGTTGTTCATATTTGACATGTCCAATTGTAATTCTCTACAGCTGTGGATAAATAAATAATAATAATAATAACAATAACAACAACAACAACAAATCAAATTCTTAGAAGCGGTTTTTTGTAAAGATATAACAGCGGTTTGTTTGCCTGATCTTAGAGTATAATCATACTGCAAATGAAGTATTTGTATTACCAGTTCTCAGTGCGAAGTGCTGTGATGAGTTGTCAGTTGTTACTCTGAATGTAGGTCTGCTTACCCCATATTTTGAAGAAGAGAACGAAGGTATGACAATGGAATATTGATGACAGAATACACAAAAATACAGAAAACATTGCACATGTAAAGCCTGCTAATTTCAGAACTTCCGCTAAAGGTTCACAACAACCTGCTTTTGTGTTCTAGCTTAGAAGAGTAGTAAATACAACATATTTTATAATGCTCAAAACCAGAAAGATTAAAATTTTTAATGTAATCAGCAGGCCAAGAGCAAGAACAGAACATATAAAAGCTAGTATGGTAAAGGATGAATTTTAATCAGATAATGATATTCTTTTGATGAGTATTCATTTGCTTTATTTTTTTAATTTACAGATTAGCATTCCGGTCATTGGTCAGGTTGTATGGCTGTCACTTATGTTTTACGCCTATGATTGTTGCTGATTCTTTTATCAAATCATCGAAGGCACGGAATAATGAGTTTACTACCAATAAAGGTATGAAATATATTTTCCTGAAGTTGAATTGTGATCCAGAGATACTTTTACAGTTACATTTTCTTTTTGTAGAATTTGTTTGCAGCAGCTATATATCACGGAAATAAATGAAGGTCAAGGGGCAAAAGTAGCAAGAGATAGACATGGCTGAAAATCGAGGCTGTTATTAATTTTCTTTGTTTACTTGTGGATATACCTTTTGGTATGTATAGACCCAAAATATGAATAATTGCTTAAGGGCTAATTTCAGCTGAATGGCCAGCCCTAGAGATCACAGTGTCATTATCATAAATTGACAGTACTGTCATATATTGAGTGGCCAGAGGTGGGGTTTGGATTGGTAATTGAATTTATTGAACTTCTGACACATCATAACTGCAAGTAATTATAGCACTCTCACTTATTCATGCATGCAGCTCCTCACTACATGACACATTTATTATGTCTTATACATAGGCCGTGCCATAGCTCAAGCGGTTAGTCACTGGCTTCCCACTGCGGCAACCCGGGTTCGATCCCGGGTCTGGTGAAGTGGGATTTGTGGCGGACAAAGTGGTGCTGGGGCAAGTTTTCTCTGAGTACTTCGGTTTCCCCTGCCAATATTCATTCCACCAAATGCTCCACAATCACCCTCACCTATCATCTGGGGCTGGTACAGTAGGCCAGAAGTGGCCGCAGTACAAGGGACTTAGTCCCACCCCACTAGCACACTGGCCCAGCTTCCTTGTTCAACGGTTCCTGTCCTCACTGACTAATGACTCCCACCACTAACCATGACAGCAGCTCCCTCATACTCTTGACTGACACAAAAAGTCAAAGTCAAGAGTTATGTTATGACTCTGACTGTCAGTCAGCCAGTCTGTCTTGGTGTCAAGCCTCATCTTAGGCCCAATACCAGATCTTTGTTACTGTCACACATTTGTTGGTTTGTTGATGTGAGATGCAGTTTCTGACAGCAGGACAGGTCTCTCTTTTACAATTGCTTGTGGTCGTCACCAGCATAGTCATTTTCATATCTAAGTCCTGCAGGACTAATGGCCATACTTTACCATCTCAGATTCAAGACCCTTAATCTGGAGGGACAGGCGCCTGTATTTATCCCCCAGGAACAGGGTGGCCAAGTTATACCCCCAGGCACAGAATTCCCATTTTGTCGCCTCCTACAATTTGCAGGCTATGGTGGAGGTATTTGAACCCACTTCCAAATAGGGCTGCCTTACTGAAAACTCCAGTAGGTTCGCCTTATATAATTTTCATTTCATGCATCCTGTTGTGTTATAATATACAATTTCTTTATTAAAACCATCACAACACAACTATATTCAGGTCAGTGTCTAGTTTGGCTCTGCTACATGTTTCAGCTGTTGAAAGCCATCATCGGGCAAATACATGGCTAACATATATACACCACTGAACTGCAGTACTAGTAAAATTGGATACAATAATATTAATTAAAGAAAAATACTTGGCATAAAAATCTATAAATTAGATTGTATAAAACAAAAATAATAGTGTAAGATTTGAGGCTTTCATGGCGGTGACTATGAAGAAAGCAGTCTTCTGGGATTTGGCACCGTGTATACCACATATACATGTTGCCAAATCCCAGAAGACTGCTTTCTTAAAAGTTATAGTATAAAACAGGAATAAAATTCTTCAAGTGATCCTTTACATCATCGAGTCAGTCATTGGTTTTTGTGATTTTGTTGTGTTCCCACGGACAGATTGGAGTATTTTATATTTTGTGTATATATAATAAACTGTTTTGGAGGCTTGTGATGTAGATGTTGTAATATTAATGTTAATTATTTAGTCAGTGCCTCATCCTACAAAGTATTGTCTGTTCTGGACGAGACTCCAAAACGTTTTATTACATATACACAAAATATAGAATACTCCAATTTGTCCTTGGGGAACACAACATCACAAAAACCAATGACAGACTCGATTATGTAAAGAATCACTCGAAGAATTTTATTCTTGTTTTATACTATAACTTTTGTTTTATATAATCTAATTTATTGTATTTTTACTCCAAGTATTTTAATATAATTAATATTATTGTATCCAATTTTATTAGTACCGCAGTTCAGTGGTGTATATATGTTAGCCATGTATTTGGCTGATGATGGCTTTTAATAGCTGAAACATGTAGCAGAGCCAAACTAAGCACTGACCTAAATATAGTTGTATTGTTACAGTTTTAATAAAGAAATTGTATCTCCTTATATAGCCATGGCATGGACCCCATAAAAGACGTGTGTTCCAGCAGTAGCTCTGTCATGTGGTTATTCATTACCTTGGAAAAGTGTTTACCTTGCTGACATGTAGCAGTGGATGTCTTTTCTGGGTCTGCTATTCCAGCTTTCATCCATCATGTCACAATATTTTTGTCCAGTACAGCATTAAAGTTGCACCAGTATATAACTGCAAATCTCTACACATAACGGTTTGCTTGTTCAGTTAAGTTTGAAATTTCAATTTCTGTTCACGTTAGTAATATGTATATAGTTTTCCTATGTATTAGTCAGCTGTTCAAGTATAAATGTATCAAAAAACCATTTGTAATTCTAGAAATGAAAATTTCCTGTGTATATTCTCATTATGTACAGGTAAATTCAAATTATTCTTCATGGTATACCTTGTCCAACTTATTTGAGCACCCTCAGTGTTGGATCTATTTTATGAAGATGTAAGATAGCTGAAGTCACTTGTAGCCTGGATTTGTGGGTAACCTTGTCAGTTATGGGATCAGCTGATGGCAGTTAAGGAAGTTGTATTAGTAAAGATGAGTGATGGGATGGTGATTTTAAATATATATATTGTAACGTGTTTTGTTACTGAATACGCCGTAGAGATCGTTAATTGGTTTATTGAACAATCTACAAATATCGGCTACAATCAATTATGACACTGATACGGGTTTCCACACTTTACAAACCCTATAACAAAATCCCTTAACACTATCTTCCAGAGTCTTCACGTATTAATAGCGCAGGAGCTATAGAAGTCTCGCTGAATTACACAGTCCAAATATAACTGGTTATCACGAACTATCACTGATTCTCGCACACCCGTCTATAGCTCATAACTTGCGAACTGAGAACTCGTTGATAACACGCTGGCTCGTAGGCTTGCTCAGAACTAACTCGAGGACTGTCTTCAGCGATGGCCACGTTACAACTGACTCGTAGCTGCTGTGCAGTTCCCTTATATAGCCGCAGTGGTGCCTGTTGCGTGCCACGTCACAGGAGTTGTTGACTGCTGCCTAGCAACCGCGATATCCCTTGGTGACGTCACCGCTGTTGACTCATGTTGCGTAGCTACCAGGTTGCGGGGACTCGGCTAACTTCGGCTCCGCTCAGCTCACTTCAGCTCGGCTCGGCACGTCACCGCGGCGAGAGTGGTGGGGTGATGACTCGCCTATTATGCNACACGTCACAATATATATATACGGATGAATCTAGTTTGTCTGAGTTCTGGGTCTCAGAGCATCCACAGGTGTAAGTTTGGTGACTTAAAATGGACTTGCATTGTTTGGAGATTTACACATACAGGGATTTTAGTGTAATGATAAAACACACATCATTTGATTTCACTTAGACATACTTTATTTCTTATATTTGAAATTGGTGAACAAAATAAGTCAAATACAGATCACTGTATGATCACTGATGTCTTAGAATGCATCAGGTTAAATTTCAGCTATAACAGGAAATGTTAATAGCTAACATATATGTATTATGAGTGTAAAATGGAAAGGTGACATGCCTAAATCAGGATTTTAGTGATATGTCTTTAGGTATGTGTTTGGGCCTGTGAGTAGAGTGTGTGTGTGTGTGTGTGTTGCCATTTAGGTGATAAGTGTCCTTGTCTTCCCCTCTGTGACCAGAGTCTTGTTACTTTCTAGACTTCAAAACCTCCACTTAAATTTAATTATGTTATCAAACAGAAACTCTTATAGTGAGCCCAGTCACATGCACCGATTGGTTTTGTGTTGGGTTGAACACATCAGGCAGGATTGTAGCAGGTAGATCAAGAGCTTTGTTCCTCAAAGGAACACGCCTCAATATCAGGAGATACACCTGTCAGCTATTAAATAGCATCATCCTCATTACTGTGCAATCCAGTGACAGACCTTTCACTCACCATAGCACAGGTTAAGTGCCCTCTTTCATTCAGTATCAGGGAATAAACTGCCCCCTTTTAACAAAGGCCCCAGTCATTGTTAGAAAGCCTTGTTACAGTACAGAGCTTGACTTGTACCAGCTAATAGTGATAATGTGTATGGCTCCAATAAATGTGTTCCCTAATTAATTTACCTGTGTTAACAAAGGACTCGAGGTAAGTTGTAACTAGTCATCTCCTGTCATGAATTAAGCTTGAATTTGGTATTGTCAAGTTGGTATATGCCATCTGGTTAAAGTGGTTTCCCAAAATCATTGTGTTAAATAATACAGATAGAATCAGAAGTAAGTCATATATTGAAAGAATAATCAAAATGTTTTTTACAGCCTTGTCAAATTTAATTGTGTTCAATTTGAGATAATTTTTTATTTAAACTATCCTTCCTGTCTTCCCATATATTTTGTAATATATCATGCTGAACTCTTGTTATAGACCCACTTGTTCTCATCTTCAGATTGCTCACAGTGTTCAGCATTTGTGGAACATGAATTTCATCTACATGTTCCCAAAGAAGGAAGTCAAGAGTAGAGATGTGGTGTATGAGCTGTACACAGGCTATATCTTTCCTGTCAGTTCTAACAGTTAAGGAGTGGTTTATTGAGAAATATTGTTACTGACTTGAGATTACTTTGAATTATTCTGTATCACCATTTAAAATATATTTACAAATTTATTCTCGATCTTCTTCCTTCTTCTTCTGTTCTCCCAAGGTGACAGACCACTAATAGTGCAGTTTGCATCTAAGGATCCAAATGATTTTGCAACTGCTGCTGAAATGGTTGCCAGGTAAGTAATAATTTCCTTGACTTGACAACTGGGGCTGACATTTAAATATGACCTAGTGAAGCTCGGGCACATTTCATGTATATTTAAAAACAATTTGCATCCATATGAATGGGGGTGTTATTGAATTGAATGGTACTTTGGAAACAGGTAATCCCAAAAAATATAATGAGTTATGCTTATTGCTACACTGAAGTTATGTTTAACTCATTACATTGGTGGTCTGAGATCAAGGATCAGTGCTGTGTGGTTTTCTCAGTCTGTGGGGTAATACTGCAAATGATCAGTTCTGCTTTCTGCAATTTCTCTTGATTCGTGAATCATTTGTTCAATGTACAAGGGGAAGTCAATAATTATCCGCAATGCAGTTGTATTTGTGTTTCTGTTGGCAGCACTGTCGTTTTGCGCAGCATCGCCATGTGTGGTTTCCTTGTCATTATTTCTGCGCAGGTTTGATGTTGCTAGGTCAGTTCCATCATCGCTGCCTTGCCGTTAATCATGGCTGCTCCACACTCTGTCTGCACCAAAGAAGAGCAACGTTCAGTGATCCAGTTTTTGTGGTCGGAAGGTGTATCAGGGGCTGCAATCCATCAAAGACTTTCAGCACAATACGGGAACACTGTTTTATCTACGAATGGATTGAAAAATTAAAAAATGGTCGCACAAGTGTTACGCATGAGGAAGGAGCCAGACTACCATCCACGGCCTCAAATGAGGACAACATTGAGAATGCACGTGACATGGTTCTGTTAGACAGACGAGTGACTATTGATGAAGTGGCAAATCATCCGCAAATTAGTCATGGTTCTGCCTACAAAATCATCCACAACAGACTTGGGTTTCATAAAGTCTGTGCAAGATGGGTCCCAAAACAACTCACAATGTTGCATAAACAAACGTGCTTGGACATCTGCCAACAACATTTGGATTGCTATGGTAATGAACATGATGTCTTCTTAGACAGAATCATCACTGGTGACGAAACATGGATCCATCAATGCAAGCCGGAAAGTAAACGGCAGAGTATGAAATGGAAACATCCACAATCACCCAGCAAGAAAAAGTTCAAAAGCCAACCATCCGCAGGAAAACTGATGCTTACAGTTTTTTGGGACTCACAAGGCCCAGTACTGGAACATTATCAGGAGAGGGGCACAACAATAAACAGTGCTCGTTACAGTGAGATGCTTACTGCCAGGCTAAAGCCTGCAATTCGAAGCAAACATCAAGGACTACTGTCGAAAGGTGTTGTGTTGTTGCACGACAATGCCTGTCCACATACTGCTGCCCACACTGCTGAAACCCACCGGAAGTTTGATGTAATGGCTCATCCTCCGTATAGTCCTGATCTTGCCCCTTCTGACTACCACTTGTTTGGTCCACTCAAAGAGGCATTAAGGGGCCGTCGATTCACCTTGGACCAAGAAGTGAAGGAAGCGGTGCATACGTGGCTCGCTGCTCATCCAAAAACCTTCTTTTCTGAGGGCATCAGGAAGCTTGTGCAACGATGGACCAAGTGCGTTGAAAAGCAAGGGGACTATGTTGAAAAATGATGTTAATGTAAGTTTTCTATTTGTATTGAAATAAAATTTATAGCTACATTGCGGATAACTATTGGCTTACCTACGTAGATTCTGCACGACTACAACTGTTGATAATATACTGTAAAATAAATGTTGATATGGCACTGAGCTGTGTGAAACTATACACTGTTTGTAATAAGATTTGTGTTACAGTTACAGTGATGGAGTGGATTTGAATTGTGGTTGTCCACAGCGGTGGGCTATAAATGAAGGCTACGGAGTAGATCTTCTAAAGAAACCACATCTTATTAGAGATCTGGTGTTGCAAGTAAAAAATAGGATCCCAGGACCATATACAGTCTCTGTGAAGTTGCGCATCATGGAGGATTTGAGGTGATAATTATGACAGGTAGAAATAAATTAGACAACCCCTTTTATTTTTCTCCCAATTCTGATGTACAGTTGCAGGTTTTAACATCCTTATGGTTACAGCTTCCTTATCCCTTTGAAGCCTAATGTTCATCTATTTAGTATTTAAGAAGTCAGTTCCTATCTCACAGAAAAAACACTGTCTCCACTATGAAGACAAATCATTTAATGTTGTTTGGAGAAGTAATCGTCATTTAACTGAGAATCATGGGAAATTAATAAATACACTTACAGCTGAGATTTTAATGTTCAAGCAGATAGCATATGTACTAACTGCTATACTTCAAAAGTTAAAATGGAATGATGAAATGATTAGAACTCTTTTAATCATCTGAAGATTTGTCACAGTGGTCTTGTTATTAATTACAAAATTACTATTTTTGACCTTCTCTGTTGTCCATTATCTCAGTTAAATTTAAGATTACATGATTTTTGGAAGCGGATCCAGCTTCTGAAATGTATAATGTTAAATTTGACTAAGACAGTGGAAAGTGTCAAACATAATAATTCCATAAATAATCTCTTTTGTTATGTTTGCTGGAACAGGAAGCTGTTAATTTCTTAGGAATTTGGAATATTAATTATATGCCTTCATTTTATACCCAGACAAAGTATAGAATTATGTAGGACTTTGGAAAATGCTGGAGTCTCCTTCCTGACTGTCCATGCCCGCACTCCTGTACAGAAGTGTCAGCCAGTAAATGAGGATGCACTACGTGAGATAAAATACAGTATCAAAATTCCACTGATTGCCAATGGAGATGTGAAGAGTCTCGGTGCAGCAAAGTTGTTGCGTGAAAGAACTGATTGTGATGGTTAGTATAATTTGATTCTGAAGGGTTTCTGAGAAGGGTGTGTAACACTCAGGATTACAGAGTTTTTGGACTTCGCTCATTGTCAAAAATACTAAAGAATACAATATTTCAAAAATGGGATTTGTTTCCACCCTCAGGTGAAACTGTAAGAGGCCCCTGATCTGTTGCATCTGTTAGAAAGAGCTAATCTCAATGACTGGAAATGATAGGTCATTATAACTATACAGGGTGTAAATAAATATATGCTCTGTAGTAGATAGATGGGTTCAGTGTGATCATATTTTGTTAATATACCCATATCCACAAACACTTCCTTTTGGTACTAAGGGCCGCAAAAGTTTCCGAGAGGATACATAAGTTTTGGGGGATGTTATCATTGTTTTATGTTATAAAAGTTGCTCAAAATGGCGGCCGCTGACTTTATTGCATGTTCTGTACCACCTGGCCATGTTATGCTGAACTGTTTGAAAGATTCCTGGATGGTTCCAGCTGCTACTGCAGTTCTTGCCACAAGATCATATGTCTCAACTGGAGTGTCATACACCAAGTTTTGCATGTAACCCCAGAGAAAGAAATCTAGTGGATTTAAGCCAGAGGAGCGAGGATGCCAGGTTATTGGGCCTCCATGTCCAATCCATCTGTTGCCAATACTTTCATCCAAATACTCAGGGACAACATTAGTGCAGTGTGCTGGGGTGCCATCATGCTGGAACCACATTTCACAATGGTCTTCCCAAGGCACCAATTCCAGCAGGTCACGTAAGGTCTCTTGGAGAAATGTTAGGTAAATGTCACCAGTAAGCCATATAGGCAAGAGGTAAGGGCGTCGTCCTTCACATTTAAGAGGCCTAATGCATAAACAAAGCATTTCTGGACATGTGTGTATTAACATAATATGATCCCATTGAACCCATCTACCACAGAGCATTGTAACATATTTATTTACATTCTGTATATACATAAACAAACATACAGTTTTAATCAGGTTTTGTCAAGGAGTGATAACAGGATAATTTACATTAACAATTGTGGAAAGGCATATGAAAACCTAAAATTATAATACAGAAGGAAATGGAAAATAATTGCATCAAACAGATGATCACGGTTTGCTTATGCTGTTCTGACTGGGAGCTGTGATTTAATCAACCATGGGAATGCTGACTGAGGGAAGACCTTAAATTGAGGAATAATAAATAGGGTTTCCACATATTTGCATGGATATGCACTTTCTTGTTCTTTTATAGACTTTCTACAGCTGTATTTGTGTGATGGTACTTTAAAATCCAATTCACCATGCACAGACTGTCCTACTGTTCAGTAGACATCTGAAAAGCATTGTTAAATAGACCAAGAATTAACCTGATCCTTCAGAACCCTAAGTATGTTACACCAGTAACACCTGCTCGTAAAGTGTCTTTGTTAAATTTGTATTACTGGTAATGCCAGACTTGAAATAATATTACCAATTATTGTATTTGTCTTTCAAAGGTGTGATGGCTGCTCGGGGCATTCTCACCAACCCAGCCTTGTTTGCTGGGCATTGTATAACTCCTTTGGCCTGTGTGCAAGACTGGGTTACCATTTCCACAGCAACAACGCCATTTCAGTGCTTCCATCATCATCTTGTATTCATGCTGGAAAAAGTGCTACCAAAATCTGAAAGACTTGTATTTAATGTCATGAAAACAAAGGAACTTGTTCTGGATTTCTTGACAGATTATGGAATAAGCTATCAAAATGATACAAAGGAATGTTCAGGTTATGGTGCAATAGATTGTGATTATGATCACAATAATGAGAGCCAAGGTAGTTTTTTCAAAGAGAAGCTCAGTGATTATTACAAAGATGTACAAATGGAAGATTACTTAGAAAATTTATGTAGCCTGTACCATATGTAGTTTTTCAATACTCAGTATTCATTATTTTAAAGTATTGTCGCGTGTTGGGTATGTCACGTGACAAATAACTTCACGTGGGTCTCGGATTTAGTGAATTTCTATTGGACACTCACTCTTACACACCTTACAGTTATTATCACTTGTAGTATCACCTGACTTCTGGCCCAATACTCCAATGTGACATCTCAACTGTCCTCGATAATGGTTTTCCCAAGGCTGTCTTCTGTGCCTATATAGGTGTTATGCGGACCAGATAGAACTTACTGTATACAAGGTTGTATGTGATGGTACATGTATGTGTATTGATTGAAGAAGTACAACATGGTATTAAAATATAACACAGTAAAGTATTTTCAGTCATTTCAGACAAGGCTGTAGTTACCTATATCATTACTTTGTTTTGAAGAGTTAGATAAATCTAACATGGAGAATATCAGAAGTACTTCATCATCATCATCATCAGTAATCTGTCAGACGACAGGTCCACAGTCTCTTCCAAAACAGTTTCTCCACTTAATGCGATCTTCTGTTTTTGGAAAGAGACTATCCAGGAAAAGTGATAATGTGGTAGTTTTTCCATTTGCTTTCCACATCGCAGTACAACAGCCGTTCAAACCACTCTGGTCACGCCTGTTGCTATACGAACTTGAACCATCTCGAGCATCATTTGCTCTGTGCTTCAAGTCGCTGCTGATAACGCTGCTTCCGACATCAGTTTTTGGTGTCTCTCTTCGTCTGATGCCTACCCTTTGACCTGTCCAGCAAGGGAGGCCCTGCCAGTAGCTACGCTACCGCTGGTATAGCTCTCAGGGTCCTTGACATACTCAAACCCCCTCACCACGATAAGGTGGAGACACCAAGGAGGGGGCAGAAGTACTTATATAGTCAGAAACACGGTGGTTTTCATAGTTAGAGTTAAATAGTTGTTTCATGTGTGCAGTGCAGTAGGCAGGGCTCGAGTGAACCAGAGCAGTCCAGTGTGATATCCCCGTGCATTTTTCATTGCCAGGGTCCTACCCTGCCACGTGTCTTAAATAGACGTGAAACATGAAATTCTTACAGCTCATGTAAGTTTTCAGGTTTTCACAGTGGTGACTTCAGATAGTGGTCTTCTGGATTATGACACTGTGTAATCTTGTATGTGGATACCAATGTTTTAGAGAGAATGTTGCCTCCATCTTCAGGGTTGACTGTGAAGGAAGAGGCAGCATGTTCTTCCAAAATGCTGATATCCACCTGTAAGATTACATGGTATCTACAGTTCACTGAGGTAGAAATCTCTGTCTCTTTAGGTATGTGCATTTCATAAGCCGTTTATCAATTCTGCATTTAAAGAAATAAAGCTGCTGCTAACAACATGTACATTCTCGTATCATAAGACTATATCCTTGACATTAGGCCTTGTGCACACTTTCACAATTAATTTGATATCTTAATGAAAACATCTATCCTCCATTTTAAATTGAACATCTGTTTGACCATAGTTCATTCATACTTCCACCCATGTGCAAAGACAGTACACTGCAATATGACTACTGAATCTTCGCCAAAATTGATGCAAATTGCCAACTTTTGGATCATAAAATAATAATGCCCTTCTTGTATAATAGAAAACTCATTAAATAATAATGCCCTTTTTCTATAATAGAAAACAGGTACTAGTGACATTTTGGAGCTCTGTATACAGGTGTGATCACTCTCTAAGCCTATTGATTCAATCATATGCAAAGAGACAGTGTGACATGCCAATAGAACAAGTTTCAGCACACGTCAGAAAGTTAACTGTTGAAATAAAAATTCAACATCTCAGCACACCCATTCTTTGGTAACAATGTGAAGATTTATCAGAAAGTTCCTGGACTGTTACTGTTGTAACTGCCTCAGTGAAAGAAGACAAGAGGGGAAGCCAGAGTCACACTTCTGCAAGCCTATTGCATCAGTTGGCCACGTGACAATGTGCTATGAACACACATTGTTTTTACAAGAGAGCTTTTTTGGCTTCCTGTTTTGTTTTGTCTGCAATGATGGCAAAGTCGAGCAACATGTCTGCACCAAGTTTTGTGAGAAGCTTGGTAAATCCACTACTGAAAGCCATGAAATTCTTTGTGAGGCTTTTGGAGAACATTCTTTATGCCAGACAGTGGTTTTTGAATGGCATTCACGTTTCAAGTCCAGTCGAGTCTCATTTGAGGATGACGAAAGTTCAGGGCGAACAAGCACCAGCAAATTGACAGAATATGTTGAAATATCCAATGGGAATCACAGCATTAAGGAAAATGACTTTCATGGTGCTTTTGAATTGTGGAAAAAACAATGGGATCGCTGTATACATTCCCAAGGAGACTATTTTGAAGGAAATGGAAGCCAAAATTGAGTAAGTTAAGCCAGCATTTCCTTTTTGACCTAGTCCGGGAACTTTCTGATAGCACCTTGTACAGTACAATTTCTTTATTAAAACCGTCACAACAAAACTATATTAGGGTCAGTGCCAAGTTTGGCTCTGCTTCAGCTACTAAAAGCCATCATCAGGCAAATACATGGCCAACATATATACCACTGAACTGCAGTACTAGTAAAATTGGATACAATAATATTAATTACATTAAGATACTTGGCATAAAAGTACAATAAATTAGACTATAAACCGAAAGTTATAGTATAAAACAAGATTAAAATTCTTCAAGCGATGCTTTACATCAATGAGTCAGTTGTTGGTTTTTGCGATTTTGTTGTGTTCCCATGGACAAATTGGAGTATTCTATATTTTTTGTGTGTATATGATAAACTGCTTTGGAGGCTCATGATGTAGATGTAGTAATATAATGTTAATCTGAAAGTGATATGAGAGTAATAGTATTAAATTTTGTTACAATTAACTATTGATTTTGGTATTGAAGATGTAGTGTATTATTTACTTACTATTTCATCGATGCCTCATCTTACAAAGTATTGTCTGTTCTGTAGGGAATGTAAACAACGAATGATTTGGTGATGTATGTTAAAAAAAGTCAATGCAAGGGAGGGAGGGAGGGAAGGTAGAGATAAGGTGTATGGGGAAGTGGTGGTGGGGGAGAGGGGGAGATATGACTGTATATTATGTTTTGTATGTATCAATAATTACATCATATACAGGGTTAAAAATTTCAGTAAAATTATCATTTAGTTGTAAATTTAGTTTGCTGATTTCATAAGTATCCAAGGTTCGGCCTTTCATGCCGATATATAGAACTTCTAATGTTTTGTCTATTGTACTATATTCATGTGTGGTGTCCAATATATGTTGAACAAATTTGGAGCTTTGTCCATTATTTTTTATGTCTCGTATGTGTTCTCTGAATCTGATTTTAAAGGTACATCCGGTTTGTCCTATATATTTTAAGGGACAGTCAGCACACTGTAGTTGGTAAACCCAACTGAGGTTATACTTATCATTTCTGTCATCATTTATTTTTAACAGTTGTTTTATATTGTTTTTGTCCTATATGAGATACCAACTTCAGTATTCTTGAAAAGTTTGGTAATAGATCTGATTTCATGGCGAAAATAGGTAAAGGTAGTCCATTTCTTCTTTTGCATAGTATTTTTTGTGAAGGGTTTTTGTGTTAGTTATATGGTATTTATTGGGTAGTTATTATTATTTAGTATAGTTCTAACAATGTTCTCTTCTCTGTTTTTGTTGTTATGCAAAAGGGGATATTGATTCAATCGATTAATGAGAAAGTTTATAGCATCTTTTTTGTGTTCAAATGGGTGACACGAATCATTGTGGATGATCAGATCATTTTGTAGGTTTCTATAGATTTCTAGTTGTAGTTTATCATGTGTTTTCTTGACGGATAAATCTAAGAAATTGATCATATTGTTTATTTCTTTTTCCATTGTGAATTTGATATTAGGGCGGATACTGTTGAATGCATTCAAAGTATTTTCAGTGTTAGTTATATGGGAATTATAGATGATTAAAATATCGTCAACGTATCTATAATAATCTATTATTTGGTATTTCGTCAAAATATCAATGATAGTTGTATGTTCAAGGTCTTGTATAAATACCTGTACCTTGTACAGTGAAAAGTTTCTAGATTTATGACATAGTGAAGGGCTGTTAACTCCACGCTCATCTTCGAGGCTATTGACTGTTTCCAGCTGCTCAGTCAATACATCTGTAGACAGCCTGCATGAAAAAGTTTGCAAACTACACTGTCGTGTGTAACTACCATATCTGTACTGCACAATTCATTTCGCTAAGGAAAACTTTTCAATTTAAATGTTATAATTCTTCATTTAAATAGCTTACAGCATATCTCAAACAAGCACATGTACCTTCAAGTGATAACTGTAACAAAATTAAAACTAATAAAATGTAGTTCCTATCTCAGTACATCAGACTGTGAACAGAAGTCCACTGCTGCTTGATATGCACCAAAGAAAACAGCACCTCCAAGTGTAATCCATAGTACGCGTGGTACAAAGCCAGCAAACAGACTGAAATATCAGAATAAATATCAATTTGCATGTTAACATAGACATGATTTTAGCATATTCTCTACAATTATAATATAAATGGTCACAAACTCCATATTATGTTCAAGAAATGGTGATCAAACATTATCACATTACTGACTCACTGTCCTGTTGATTGATACAAAGATGCACTAAAATCTCACTGACTTTATATCAGGTAGTTCAAAATCTTTTACAGTTCAAAGTTTGGTTAACTTGTGATTCAGAGCAGTAACAAAGTTTGATGAATACTAACAATTTGAACAATTCAGATTATAAATGTGAAGTAAGCAGTTGGAATTTGGGGGGTTGGTGCATTCTGGACAACTTTTTCCAAATACACAGAAAGTGACTGATCTTGAGCATACTGACTCACATGGTAATAGGGGGCTCTTAATTATATCAGTGCCCTGCCATAGATCTACACAACATGTCATCACTTCTGTCCTACTGTTACCATGAACCAACATATTGTAGTCTGTTTCACTCATTCTGTCCCTGTTCAGCCTTGACACATGGTTTATATATAACCTCTACTGCAGGAATTTATTGTACTGTGGCCATAGGATGTCTTTCAATTAAAAACAAAAGCAGCATTTCTTTTGACAGGAAGGCATTTGTTAAAATACAGTTAGTCAAAGCAGTGTCAAAATGGCTGGCTTGAGTGAAGCATATGTGTGCAGGGAAACATGATATAGTCAAGCTATTGTTGAATTATTTTGTGATGGGTGAGTTGGAATATGATTATGTGAATTATAGGGATATGACTCAATAGGCTGGTCTAGTAGTAGTGTTCTAAGTTTTTGTTTGGGAAATGCTTGATTTGAATATCTGCTAGGACACTCATCTTGACTGAGGCTTCTGTGGTTTTCCTTAGTCCCTCCAAGCAAATGCCAGGATAGGACCTCAGTTAGGCCATGTCCACTTCCTTCCAAGCCTTTCCAACTCATGTCATCCTTTCATTTGGCAATACATAGTTGAGACACTGACATAAAATCACCCCTCCCCCCAGATGATAAGGATATGTGTAGGTGTGAGTGATACAGGAAGTGAAGATAATGCAAGTGGTAGTTCTAACACACCAGGTATTGTGCTTGTGATAATGAAACGGGTTAGCTGACACTTTTCCCTTGACAGTGAAAGGTGCTGAACTACCCATAACAATTTTGATATAGCAAATTTGAGTAGTGTGGGAACTTAGTGATACTTCAAGTCAGGCTGACTGCTGATTGTAAGCAGAAAACCTGTAACATACATGGTGAAATATTATGATTTTGTTGGTCTGTTGTCTTCTGTGACATGATGCCGTGTAGTTTGGTTTCAGAGGAACCTCGTGCCACCATTTTCAAGATGGATACCTTACAGAGTGTTTCAACATTGATGGTTCAGATTAAACTGGAACTGTGGGAAATGGATATACAACAGATATTTTTTTTAATCTCATATACATAATTACATATATATATATATATTGTATATATTTTGAGCCCCTCTGAATACAAGGATGTGGTCTTTGGAATGCCACCTCTCTGTATACATGCATATGTGCCTCATAAGCACCTGAATGGGATGGATTATATTCATATTTAGTATTCAGTAGTTTATCCTTCGTAGGTTTGTGCCTAGTGACTTAACGGTGTAGCTTAAAAATAAAGGCCCTTCAGATGAGCTCCAAAAAACAAAATGGCTATTTTCTTGGAAACTACTCCAGTGATTCTGATTAGATATCAGTAATTTGTGCAGAGTATCTTCCTAAATAAAACAGTACAGGCAGCTAGTGCCAAGGTTAAGAATGGTGGAGCTATACTTTCACTTCCCCACATGTGATGGTATGATGCTTAATTAAGTAACCCCAGGGATAACTTCTTTTACCTGTACTTAACTGTGGAATGTACAGTTTATTGAGAAGACCAGTTTCTGCAGCTGATATGGCACCCTTCTCACATAGACCTGCCACAGTAGCCAGTAATTCACAACCCACTCTTCTGCTGTAGTGTTAACTTACCTAATTCTATATTAGAGTCAAAAGAGGCACCCCAGACCGCATCTATGGTCTAGTGGTCAGAGTTCCTGGCTACAGATCTGGATGTCCCAGGTTTGATTCCTGGTGCTACCAGATTTTCTGAGGAGTGGGTCTAGAACGGGGTTCACTCAGCTTTCTGAGGATAATTGAGGAGCTATTTCAATGGAGAAGTAGCGGATCTGGTCAAGAAAACCGAGATTAACAGCCATGGGAATTTGTTTCGCTGATCATGCAACACCCTCTATCCACAAAAGTTGGCACTAACTTCGCTGACAAGCGGCAGTCGCTCAGTATAGTTCACTTGTGGACTAAAAGCCACTGAGTTTGTCTTTTGTTTTTAAGAGGCACTCCTTTGCTTCTGAGTATGCCTCACATTGTAAGAGTATGTTCTAGACACACATTGAAGTTTCTGTATAGGAATATTGGAAATTCCTTTCCTAATATTTTCTTGAAGTACTTCCAAAGAGACGGTTCATACACTTTTTTTTCATCACATTCCATGACTAAAGGTGACAGTGACTTAAATTGGAGTATCACAGAGGCCATAGTCTTCACCTCATCACTTATTCACTGAAGGCCACAGTCCTCGCCTTATTACTTGTTTGCTAAAGATTTCACTTAATGCATCCACACAATGATTCTCCAAAACGTTGGTACCTATCCACCCATCACATGGTGTCATATGTCAGAATACCATAATCTAAAATTCAGGTGTCCTTCATTTTAGTCACTGAAATAATCTAGGATTGCCTTTCAGGATATCAACTTCAGATTTTCATGACCATTTTTTCAAATAAGGCTCCTCACTTTTAAAAAATGTATGTGAAATATTAGATTTATCTCATGGATTTCTGAAGTGGATATTAAGTAAAGTAATCTTAAATAATAAACTTTGTCTTAAAATAATATGAAGCCCTAACTGACAGTTAATTTTAATAGAAGACTACCATCAGTGCAGTAGCCTATTCATACTGAATGGAAATATGCACACATGTAATTATGGCAGACACTTATTTACAAACTTTACAATTGAAGTCAAAATCTACATGGTGAATCCAAAAGTGCCCGAAATTTGAATTTTGGGCGCGAATGATTATGAGTACATCAAAATACCGCTAGGTGTCTCCCCTCACACCCTTCTTGAATCAGTGTGGCAAGCGGTGTCGAGTTAAGTGGTTGGGTTTATTGTTGGTGAACATAATTCCATTGTTGTGTTTCCGTGAGTTTGAGGTTTTGCGACAGCTGACCTGAGAGAGCAGCGTGTCTGTATAAAGTTCTGTTTTAAACTTGGGAAAACCGCTGCAGAAACACACCAAATGTTGAAGGAAGCTTCTGGTGGCAGCAGTTTAGGCCACACACAAACTTACAACTGGTATAAGCGTTTCAAAACTGGCCGAACATCGACTGATGATGACAATTGTTCGGGACGGCCGCCAACTGGCACCACACCAGAAAGTATCAAGAAAGTTAGGGATCTGATTCTGCAAGATCGTAGACTGACCATCCAAGATCTCTGTAACACCTTGGGACTAAGTTATGGTACACGTCAACGAATTTTGTCAGAGGAACTGAACATGAGGAGGATTGCAGCAAAGTTTGTGCCACAACTGCTGCAAAATGAACAGAAACAGCATTGCTTGGAAGTCTGCATGGAACTTCTACAACAGCTTCAAGAGGATCCAAACTTTCTTTCGAAGGTTGTCACTGGTGACGAAAGTTGGGTTTATGGCTACAACCCTGATAGTAAGCAGCAATCGTCGCAATGGAAAAGCCCTTCTTCACCTCGGCCAAAAATAGCTCGACAAGTCAAGAGCAATATTAAGTCTATTTGATCTGTTTTTTTGATACTGACAGGAGTGTTCATAAGTAGTTTGTCCCTTCTGGTCAGACAGTCAATAAAGAGTTCTATCGTGATGTTCTAAGGTGTTTCAGGGAGGACATGAGGAGAAAAAGTCCAGAGAAGTGGCACACGAATGACTGGGTATTCCACCATGACAATGCACGACTGCATACGGCTTACATTTTGCAAGAATTTTTGGCTAAAAACAAGATGGCAGTTGTTCCCCACCCACCATACTCAACAGACTTAGCTCCATGCGACTTCTTTCTCTTCCCCCAAGATAAAAATCGAGTTGACGGGGCGAAGATTTGATACAGCTGAGGAAATTCAAGTGGAAACGCAGATGGTACTAAACACCCTAAGAAAGAAAAACTTCCATGGTGCATTTCAAAAATGAAAGAAATGCTGGGATCAGTGTATGTGCTCCCAAGGGGACTACTTTGAAGGTATTGGTGCAGAATAAGATCCAGGTAAGACGTTTTTATTAGTATATTTCAGGAACTTTTGGATTGCACCATGTATCAAGTCAATTGTACTTACAAAACGTTTGTGAATAACTCAAAATTCAATACTAATTAAATTATCCTGGGATAAATGTAAATTTATTAAATTTTGAAAATAAGAAAAGCTTGCTCAGATCCTGATGGTTACTAGAAAAAATCTGTTGAATATGAACACAACATACCCTTGAACTCCTTGTTCTCTGTAGATATTTATAAGCATAGTAGAAGTGCGAAGCCTCCAACAGTCAACATGAGAATGTATGTTCTTCTCTGCCAACATAATTCTTGTTTTAGCTACATCCAGTGGTGTTGTGACAGCTGCTGCAATCCCGCCTAAAACACAAATTTGTATCAGGAGTAACTGGTTAATTCATAGATTATTTAGTGATGACACTGTATCAACTGCTGAATTTATTTGCAGGGAGGAACAGTTTATGTGGTAGATGTGTCAGGTCAGATACTGTCAATATTCTGGTCCACAAATAATCACTATACTTGACTTAGTAAATTATCTCTACAACCAAAATTAAAATTAAGAATTGTCTGCTTGTGATTTTATGAACAATTTCAGAGTATCCTGGAAGACACAGATTATAAAGTAGCTGCTTAATGTGAGAAATAAGAATCATTTATTAATAGCACAACTAATTCGGAAGCTGAAGACTTCTGCCTTCTGGGATATAACTCTGTATAGTCCGGTGAAAGTCAACTAATGTTTCGGAGGAGCATGACGCCTCCATCTTCGGGGTTGAACAGTAAGCCAAGCAAATTCCAGCATGATGCAAGCAACAAGCAGAGTTCCTCCAAAACACTGGTTGACTTCCATCAGACTTCAGTGTTATGTCCCAGAAGACAGAACTCTTCTCAGATACTACTGTGAGAACCTTAGATCCAACATAATTAGGAAGCTGACCTCAAACTCCAATGCTAATACATACTTTGAGAAGTGATAATAAAATTCACTCTTTGACATGTTCAGGCTCTGTTTCTGTAGAATAATTTATAGCTTATCTATTTTAAGAAATCCCCAGGTATACTTCCTCTAAGGGAGACAGTGGATCTGGAATCTGAGACAAACTTTAAGTGTAGCCACCTGGTACAACAGGCAAAATTATGGCTGATGTGCCAAGTGGATTCAGTCTCAACCTGCCCCAAGAAATTCAATTATGAAAAGTGTAACTGCAGTTATGGACGAAAATAAAGTAGAAAATTGAAAGAAATTCAACTACAAATGAGAAAACGTTTATGATTATGAAACATTAAACTGAGGTTCCACTATACAGTCAACACCTGGTAAATTACCTGATACTGAGCCACAGGCTGCCACTTCAATAATACTGAGATTCTCCTTTTTAGCACAATACCACTGTGCTTTGAACCACTCCCATATTGGAAACTGGATCAGAACAAAAGGTATTTCTCGAAGAGTTGTTGTAACAAAGCCACGATATAAGCCCAAATAACCTTCTGTTTCAATAGCCCTTTTGCAGATAAGCAAAGGTGATAATTTTTCTAATGCTGCCTGCTGCCTTTGCTTCACAACTTCAATGGGCACTTTAACGAGACAAGATCCCTAAAAAGAAGATGTTAACAGGTTTATTATTATTAAGGATGTAAAAATAGTAATCTGATCCTTATTCAAAGCCTGCTGAACCTACATTTTACACAAGTACATTGAAAATTAAAGAGAAGATTGATAATTGACATGTTTACACCAGAAATAATTTTGTCAACAAATTCTCAAACTCCATTCTACTCGCTGATGAAATAAAATTTTCCCTACTTAACTCACACTATTTCTATGTCACAGGAGATATATGCAGAGCCTATTTTTTTTATTGCTAATGGGGTGGGACTAAGTCCCTTGTACTGCAGCCACTTCTGGCCTATTGTACGAGCCCCAGATAATAGGTGAGGGTGATTGTGGAGCAACTGGTTGAATGAAGATTGGCAGGGGATACCAAAGTACTCGGAGAAAACCTGCCCCAGCACCACTTTGTCCACCACAAATTTGACTAGACCCGGGATAGAACTTGGGCCGCCGCGGTGGGAAGCCAGCGACTAACCGCGTGACCTGCCCTGCAGAGCCTATTAGTACAACTCAAAGCTTTGAGCTTCATTCATGAATTATATAACAAAATACCATTAACTGAGGCCCAATGGATCAGCCATCAATGACGGATGTACTACAAATAATATGCATGGAAGTAAGCAAGAACTGTTTCATAAAGACAATCACTATTATACTTTCACAAACTGGCTAATCATATTAACTAAACCGATAAGATATGTTGAAGAGTTCCATCTTCTGGGATATAATGCTGTGTAATCCAATGAAAGTCAAACAGTGTAAACCAAGCAAGCTGCATGCTCTGCTTACTATATGTTCCTCTGAAACAACAATCGACTTCCACCCAACAACACAACCTCATATCCCAGGAAACAACTCTTCATAACAACTACTCTGAGAACCTCAGATCCTAAATAACATAAATTACTTGTGTTTATGAGGATCCACTTGAACTCCCAGTCAGGGCACTGGCAAGGATTCTGCCTGAAGTGCATTATGTTTTCCTGAGTCCTTGTCAATTAAGCAGGCCACTGTTTTTTTTTCACGTTCTTCAAATTTTACCATGCATAATAAATTATCTTCCAAATTTACTCTATACTACTGGAACATTTGTTTATGTACTTGAATAAATTTGTTACAGAAAACATTCAATTTGTCATTACAATTCAGACTGTTGAATACAAAACTCAAATTTCATTTAAAGGATGCATTTAAACTGTTCATCTCTTGTTTCTTAGTCTATGTTTAAATTTAAGCAAATGAATGTCAACTTACTTTTATGATAATGAAATTATTTGAGCATCATGATGTGACAAACCATTTATTATAAGTTTAATAAAATAAAGAACTTGCCTGTTTGTGTCTGTAAACATTTTACCAACTGCTGTGCTCAACTTATTCTGACTTTTAGTTGGAAAATTTATAGTAACTGTCAAGTTTTAATATCAAGCTACTTGTACTTAATGCATATTCCAGTTTCAGAGAAATTCTATTCATACATATAACTATTTTTGCATGATTCTGACCATGTCTTTTGAGGCAGAAAGTATTTTAATACAATCTCTCTATTTTGACTTACTATTTCACCAGCACAAGCAGCACCCATGTGAATTACTGGTAAGTACACTGGATCAACTTGTTTTGAAAATATCTTCTTGATGGTATCATACGTACAGAAGAATACAGAAGCTGTGAAGAAAATGACAACAGTGACATTGTTTTCAATGTGTGACACTGTAACAATTTACACAATCGTCAAACTTCTTCAGTTCACCTGTGGCTCAATCAAGAGATGGCGACATCAGCTTACAAGAAAAGTGTTATAGTGGACATTTAATGCATTCTCAGTTATTTGGGTTGCACTGTGCATTTTGATCCCTTAACAATATCCAAGATTAAAATTATAATGGGTAGCTGTAGTGATGAAGCTACTAGTATTGTGTGTATGAAATGCTTGTAGCACTTTATGGTCATGTGTTCAGAGTATGAACTGTATATGTATGTAGGAGTATGTGCAAAATCCCAGTTGCTTGGTACAGGTCTACCCCCTCTGCCATGTTCACAACACAGTAAATCACACTAGACCTCAGGAATGCCAACACTGCACAAATATGCCAGAAGTTTCAGACCTCACCAACATGAGCTTCTTACAGAGAGGGGCTGTGGGTCCCACTGTGACCTGTCTTGTTACTTGTATATATAATGTTAAGACTATTCTAATTCAATTAAGTATCTTTAAACCCTATTACTTTAATTTTCATATGTTAGCAATATTTCTGTTTGGTAAGAAAACCTGAGGGAAATAGACCACTAAGAAGACCTAGACACAGAGTGGATGATAATATTAAAATGGATCTTGGAGAAATAAGAGGGGAAAGGTATAGACTGCATTCATCTGGCTAAGGGCAGGGATCAGTGATGGGCTGTGGTGAACATGGTAAAAAGCCTTCACATTCCATAAAATCCTGGGAATTTTGGGGGGCTGAGAGACTTGTTGACTTCTCAAGAAGGATTCAGTTCCATGGAGTTAGTCAGTTAGCAGTACCTCTATACATATCTTCAGTGTGAGTGGATGCTACTGGGAATCCAAACTGTAATATCCATTTTTCCTCTGGATGCCAAGCATTGTGAATTTTTGTCTTTGACTGTGCTAGTGCAGGAATGAAAGGAAGGAAACTAAAGAATATATCAGTTAAGACTGATTCCAGCACAGCTGAGGACATAATGCTACAATACAAAATCTACTATAGAATGTTTGAAACCACAAGATTATATACCTGAAGGAACTGAACCTACTGCTGCTGTTCCTACTCCTTTATAAAGATGCTGGAATCCACCACTTGCAAAAAAACCACATGGACTCTGAAGTCTGGTTTTCAATGTGTCCAAGGGGAACAAAGTCACATCGACAGTTATCCCTGCTGTTCCTCCTGCCTGAAAGTATCAATCCAAACAAAATAATTCAACTATACCGGTATTATAAACAGTCAACGTTTGCATAAAGAATTTTATATTTTCAAATGATTATTAAGAATGTATAGGATTTGAGGTTCTCACAGAGGTGGTTATGGGGACAGAACTCTTACTAAGGAGTGTCTTTGTAACATGCCGCCATAGAAATTTTAATTGTTAGGTTACAATGATTACAGTTTCCTAGAAAATACTTTTAACAAAAGTTGCATTCTTTTCAGACATTTGTCATCATAAGAAACTTCAGAACATTTAAAGGATTAATGTTGCTCAGACCTCACAAGTCTGTATCATGGAAATGGTAGTACTGTAGATCAAAAAAAAAAAAAAAAAAATGCCAAGATTGAGAGATATCCAATGGCATGCTGTGCATGCTGAATTTTATGAGAAAATGTCCATTATTATCTATAATAATGGTGTTTGTAGTTTGGTTGGAATGGTCACAGATCCACACAGCTTGCTAAACAGGGTTCTGGAAAGGGAAATGTTGGATTGCTCTGGAAACCTAATAAAAGAACTTAGTTATTTTGATACATTTTCAGTGACACATTTTTGGCTTACACTTTTTGGAGGTAATGTGAAAAACGTATTACCTTCCTTTACCCCTGTGGGACTTCTCAACCAGTCAGTCATACTGAAAGTGAAGCAACCAAGTGAGTAAGACAATTTTGCACTTTTCATCTAAGCTTGGTAATTCCTACTGTGGGAGTCATGGATTTGAAACAGTATTTTCTCTCTGGTTGTGTTTTAGCTTCTGTCAAGGCTGAATAATTTTCTTTCATAATTGCAAGTTTGCAAAGCTCCAATGGCTAAATAGTCTCTTCATATATATACTTGCACAAGTTTTAAGTCACAGAGATATGAGCACTGGGGTAGAAAATCAGGTAGAGATTTGGATATGGTACAGGTACTGACCCCTCTATATATACTCACATCCACTGTGTTGAACTGGGGATTAGTTCTTTGGGATTCATTATTGCAAGGGTCAAGAAATAAGTTTTAGGTCAAAGACAAAGGAGAAACACTTTCTACCATTCAATTCAGAATTATCTCACATGTTCTGTCAACATTTCTAAATATTAAAATATACAGAACTATGATCTAACCAAATATATGACATGGGTCTGGAATTCTGGCTCTCACTTCATGAGAAGAATATGTATCAAGGAATATATTTGGATCCAGGAAAGGTGAATTAACAAAGAACTGAATAAAACTGCCTGAGTCATTCCAAACCAAATCAACAAATGCACAGTGGTAGCTGAATTTGTTATCTTAATGTTTAGTTTAGTTTAGTCTACAAATTATAAATCACTCCGTCCAATGTGACCTGTAAGTTTTTTACTACATAAGAACTTAACACCCTTACATGTTTCGGTCTCTGTTGACCATCTTCAGAGGGTAAACATCACTACAAATAGGAAACCACTATCACATAATTTGTTTACACGCTACGTACACTTATATGTTACAGCACACAGTACATAGAATAGAACATTTCACAAACACAGCAGTTTCCTGGGAATGTAAGTTTTAAAAAATTGTATAAAATTCCTTGATGTTAATTAAAAGTTTTTTAGATTGTCAGTAATTAAAATTTGTAAACCATGCAGGCTCGTGTTCATCCTCCCATCGTCTCCTTACATTCCCAGGAAACTGCTGTGTTTGTGAAATGTTCTATTCTGTGTACTGTGTGCTGTAACATATAAGTGTACGTACTTTGCGTGTAAACAAATTATGTGATAGTGGTTTCCTATTTGTAGTGATGTTTACCCTCTGAAGATGGTCCACAGAGACCGAAACATGTAAGGGTGTTAAGTTTTTATGTAGTAAAAAACTTACAGGTCACATTGGACGGAGTGATTTGTAATTGTTATTGTGACGGACCAGAATGAAACAAATCAAACTCTTAGTTCAGTCTATTGTAACCAGCTTAGATGTTGCTATGGTGTAAGTAAATATGCAAAACACTGTGTCCAATAAAAGTGCTATTTTGAAGATACAAAATGCTAAAGCTTGTGGAATGCATGCCATTCTCCACTTGGTAGCAGTATCAATATACAATAGACATCATTCTGCCATCCTCAGGTGTGTTAATCATGTTAAACCATTGCACTGCCTGCCATCAAGAGTCCATTTATAAAATGATATAAAATGTGTGTTCGTTGTTGTTCAATAATAAAATTTATATATTAAAACTTGTTAAGATCTATCATCTTACATGTCGTATATCAAACTCGTGTGTAATGCCATTCATCCGCTATGGGAGTCGTTCTTCTTATGTTTTAATTGTGTATATACTGTGTCTTATGATGTGTCTTTCTTATGTGGCTACATGCGTGAATACAACACAGTACATCCCAATCTACCTATGTACCTCCCACACATCCTATATGGCTATGAGGCTATAGCTTACTTAAGATTTCACCACCTGGGCCATTACTTTATGGAGCCAGGTGACTATCAAGACACACCTGTAAGTAAGATACTACACCTTATTCAAAGTGTAGGATTGCTAAAGGGTTGAAATAGAGGGGGATGCACAATAGATCATTGAAGGTTGTGGTGCAATGGGCAGTTTATGCCCACCTCTTATGCATTCATTTACACCTATGTACCTCAAGAGCTGATATTTCTATGAAACTGGTTCACATGAAATTCATACAAAAAGCTACCTAACTGTGTAGTAAAATCAGTTGCATCCTGAATTTTTCAAACTATAAGGAAACTAAAAGATGTGCTGGACAGCTGGGGTTCAATTTCCAGCATGTGCAAGAGATTTTTCTCTACTATACAGCATCCAGACAAGATCTGGGGCCCACCCAGCTTCCTATGACATGGGTTCTGGGGGCTCTTCCCTCGGGGATATAGCAGCCTGGGTGTGGAGCTGAGCACTTGCCTCCACCTAATGCCAGGGTCATGAATGGTGGAGCTATACCTCCTCTCCTCAGTACATCTTCATGGCATGATGCTTAATTAAGCACATGGCCAGCTTTTTTACTTTCATAAGAAAAAAAATGTTATCTACGTAAAACTTGCTGGGGAGAGGATAACTCAATGAAAATTTGAAGTGGTAACATTCCGTGTTCCTTTGATACAGTACAAATTCAGCTTGTTTCTTCAATTCTTATTTGAGCAGCACATATTTCAAACAAAATAAATTTCTATATAATGAACACCTGGGAAGTTCAAGGTGGTCATTACAGTTTATGTAATGGTAACGGGTGATGCTGACCCTGCGCGTAATTAAATACGCACACTATGAATGGGTAAGTGAAAGTACAGCGGTCTTTGAATAAATGTATTATGAGCGTGTGCAGCTGCCTCTGAGAAACGTCATTTCAAAAGAATCGTAAGCCACCATCTAATTGTTTTCAAAATGATTAAGAGCGCCCGACAGCAGTAAATCATAGGCATGAGTACAGCTGCATATACCATACATCAAAAAACGAACGTCCCCAGACCTGCCTGTTTTGGTCAACTTACAATCAGTGATGTTAATATTGGCAGATCTGTTTCGTTCGTCATTCCAAATAATCATACGTGATTATATGCTTTGGACCCTTTGGACACTTCAGTCCCCTTTAGAAAACAAATGTATTCGTTCCCTTTTTTTCAAAGAAATTGTCACCCACGGATCACTAAATACTAGCACCAGTCTCATAGACCTCATAGACGACAAGTATTACACAACACGAGAGCGAGCATGCAGTGTGGTGATCGTGGTGATGGTGGTGATCGTGGTGATTTGGTTTGTTATCGCAAGTGGTCGTACTTGAACAGAAACTTTACAGCGCTCTACATGCAATCGTCTTTCCCATTTTCAAAGGACGAAGCACCAGTCCCGAACACAAGGATTACGTGAACACGTGTTATCCCATTTTCCTCCTTGCTTTATATTTAATACGGGAATGCGCACAATGTGCATAGAGTAATTGTTTTCTATTCGCGACTGTATTCGGTTATTGATGTGGTTAGGTTTTTGCATATGGTAATGCGGTATCTACTACTGCTTTATAGCTCTATAGTAATAAATGTATCAAGGAAGTAAAGAATGCACTCTTTACATTGTGTTCATTTTTTAATAAATGCCCGAAATATGTCGATACTGTTCAGTAATACGACTCACGGATGCAAGGGAGATACTATTGAAACATTCTGAAGTGAGCAGGAATAAGTGCAGAGTACATCAGGTTTCCGTACGTCCCATGTTCCTTGCAAAAGTAAGGAGCAGGTTCCGGGTTATGGGGTGATGCAAGATGCAAAAATCTTACGACGCCGGATCGATGTGGTATCTAGATGCAGGAAAGTAACATATAGAGAAGATTTATGAAACGAATATGTATTTATTTGAAATAAGTTATCAGTACAGTACTTTTTGGACTGGATTAAAATCTAAACAGTTCTAACCCAGAAACACCGATAGTGTATTCTGTTTCTGGTAACGATACACATGAGAAAATAATTATGGCAAGAAACTTTCTCAAAAGCAGCCTTCAAAATGCGTCCTTCAATATTATATTTCAGGTACATTGGCAGAAATTGTATTTAATTTTGTTTTGGTATTACGAAATAATCGTTATTCTGCAGACTTACACTAGTAGAGGAATTTGTGATGTTAATTAGTAACTTCACATTGCCAGCGTGGCTACTGCTGTCTGAATTCCCTCTTATACCACATGTTACAAATCGCCATGTAATATCTCCCCACCCAAACTCATTTATATTCTCACCATAAGAAAAATGATGCTAGTAGCGTTGTTATAGTTCATGGGTGTGATGTGGTTGATGACAGCATGAACTGTGCAAAGTAGACGAGTTGTCCTCTGTTTGGAATAACTGTAGAACAACCACAAATACCATAGAATTTTCCAGTCAAACATAGGCACCAGGTGATATGGTAGGAGACTTCATTTGTTCATCATGTGTGTATAGTCTGACTGTACAAAATGTTGATATAACAGATTTCATGTCATCATGCAGGAGGTTAAATGTATTATTTTGGAAAGTAATAATATGAAAGAATGAACTGTAGTATCCTTTTGGTTAAAAATGCATTTTAATTTAAATCACTCTTAGCGGTATAGAATAAAATCCTTTTTGCAGATTCTGTATTAGTTTTACATATTTGATGTGTCTTTGGTATGTTGTATTATCAGATTATTTTTCGATGTGTGACGTTTGGACTGAATGCCTTCGTGCTGCGACATGTTAGTCAGTCAGTAGTGGGTGTGATGAATGTTCGTCTCCTTCTCCTGGAGTCAACCATATTATTCCTGAGCCGAGAGGCATTTAGACGTGCTTGTCTCAGCAAGACAACAGAACACAACTGGGCTCAAGTCATCAATCTCCTTTGGTTGACGTAAGATATTAGTGTGCAGTAGACTAGTTTGCTATGTTCTTTATTATTTTCATGGGGTTATGCATATAGTTGGTCTTTCTTGCTTTTCTTGTGGCTATAATTTTTAATACTCTTCTGTTAGCCATTAGAATAAAATGTTAATAGCAGTACTGCATAAGTCAGAAAATTCAGGAAACACACACATGCACACATGCAAGGTTCTTCAGAACCTGTCTGCTATGCTTCAGGATGTAGTGTCCAGTAAAAGCATTAATACAACACTTGTCCTGTTTCCAACCAATTCACAAGATGGCAACACAGGTGACAGTTTTAGGTGAATTGTAGCCACTGTTCCTTCACATTTGTTCCTTGCCTCACTTGCTTTTGATCCTTTATAAGAGTCAGATGTCACACATTCTGTTGTTGTAGGGTCAAAATAATGTCTTCATACATGTTTTTGCAAAATGAATGAACTGTACACTCCCACTGAAGATACTGATGTCTGTTACATCTGTGCATTCTGTGATGATAATGGATGGGAGACAGTTGATAAATATCAGGCATTTTCCTATATTCTGAACAGGCAAATGTTTGTGATACAAAAGATAGTGGGACACAGGGACAGTTCTATATACCCAAGAACATGTAACACAATGGTCCGTTGCTATGGAAGAACACATACTGGCCCTGTTGCACTGTAGCCCAGTGACTAGTAGTCAGAAGATATCTAATTGATGTGGTGAATCTATATCATGGATATGACAGTCCATACATGATTAGAGTTTATAACCTTATCATTTTCATCCTGTTCAGGATCTTCAGCTGGATGATTATGATCTTAATGTCCAGTTTTGTCAGTGGAAGGTTATGTGTTGCCAGAATTTTTGTCATATACTGTTCAACTATGGAGCACAATTCAATCAGGGTGGAAATAACAATACACAGAATTCCCACTTGTAGTCCAATGATAATCCTTACTTGACCATTGAAAGGTCTTTCCAACAGCGATTCATAGTGAAAGTTTTCTATATACTTATTGGAGTTTTGTTGGTTGAACCATTCATTTTGGAATGACATTAACTGCTGCTAATTTGCTTTTCCTCATAAACTAATTGCCACTTTTAATGGAGGACATGAATCTGGAGAGAAAGCTCAGTACAGTCTTTCAGGATGATGGGGCAACTCCACATTTTGCTTACCAAAGTTATGGCTAACTTGATTCATTGGATTTGTCATGTTGGTCCAATACCTTGACTCTTGAGATCTCTGGACCTTACTCTACATGAAAGTTTTCTTTAAACTGTGCTGTCATTTCTCCTTCACACAATCTGTTCCTGCCACTGGGATCTGTTAAACTGAATATTTTTCTTTTCGCGGCCCCATTGATTTTCTTGAATTTTTCCTCTGCATATATCAATTCAAACAATTCTGTAGCGGAAGGTGGTGGTGGTGATGCTTGTAATGACCCAAAGTTCTGTACACAGAAGAACCAGCATGGGTCTGCTCAATTTTAAGACTGTTTGAGCCATTTGTTTCATGTATGTCTTATGAACACAAAAAGAGCAGCTTAATCTGCAAAACTGTCTGGCTAATTGGCAATAGTTTTCCCACATTTATCACAGGTTCTTTGTTGTTTTTCATTACTAGGAGCCTTTTGCACCTTTCATTCCTTCACAGGTCTCAGTGTTTTCTGGAAGTTGTGCTATGACCAATGGATTACAGCACTTTTTTAAAACAAGAAGTTTTTTTGACACTTCAAAAATTAATTTTGTGCTTGAACAAATCATTACAGAAGTTTCCAGGCAAGGAAATAGAATTCAGTTGTACCAGCATCTGGAATGAACTGAAAGGCTGGATGAGTCATGATGCCTTGCAGTACATTTGTGCAGGTTACAACATGTCTCATCATGCCTGATCATCTCACTGCTATTACTGTCAGGGATAGTCATGAAGATACTGCCTCTAGAATGTGTTGATTTGATATGGAATGACCAGGAGCCCTGTGAAGTCATGAATGCTGCTGCTTTTGTACAAGAACATCCTGAAGTAATGCAGCAGGAAGTAAACTCTTGTTTGAACTGAGCAGGACTGTGCATAGAAAAATACAATTGGCATTTTGAACAGTTATCATAATGTGTATCTCATAAAATGTTCAAACAACTTCATATGATTACTGCTTTCATCTTTTGTTTCCCCCTGTGTACATTTGAACATCTGTAGCTTCTCGGTGGCTGGAAGTAGGATCAGTGTTGTATTCATGTTTTTTACATACTATTACCTCTTAGAGTATGGCAGAAACACACTGTGTGTGTGTGTCTGTATATGTATGCATATAATTGCCAGCCTTTGTATATATGTATAGACATGATTTACGGGTGACTATAGGTGGGCTATAGGCGAAAAGTAAAGTCCCTGTGTATTGGGAGTTGATGTATAGATCCACATTTTCTTGACCTCAGCACTAGCTGGAGGTGAGTGGTTAGCTTCATGCCCCAGGCGCTATACCCCCATGCAAAGAGTCCCCAGTACCCGTTGGATAGGGGGTTGCCAGTTTGGATGACATGGAGAAGAGAAAATTCTTGACCATACTGTGACTCGAACTCTGACCCCTCAGTCGTCCAGCCCATAGCCAGTCGCTATACCGACTACACTATCCTGGATCACCCTGTAGGCTGGGTATGGATTGGTGAGTGGATTTCTTGACCACTTATGCACACCACTTGGAACTACGTTGTGTGTTCAAGTTCTAAGGTCTCCGATTTTTTTTCTCACACAATAATCATACAAAAAATTTTAAACTTCTGTCACTTTTCAACGTAATCTCCCTGCAGCTGTACACATTTTTCACAACGTCGATGCCATGATTCCATGGCCGCTCCGAACGCTTCTGTAGGAGTCTGTTTTGACCACTGGAAAATCGCTGATGCAATAGCGGCACGACTGGTGAATGTGCGACCACAGAGAGTGTCTTTCATCATTGGAAAAAGCCAAAAATCGATAGGAGCCAGGCCAGGCAAGTAGGGAGCATGAGAAACCACTTCAAGGTTGTTTTCACAAAGAAATTGCTTGCGTCGCATATGCCCAATGCTCTGGTGCATTGTCCTGGTGAAAGAGCACACATGCAGCCTTTTCCAGCTATTTTTCTTGCAGTGCTGGAAGGTGCTTGTTCTTCAGAACATCTTGGTAGGATGCACCTGTCACCGTAGTGCCCTTTGGAATGCAATGAGTAAGGATTATGCCATCGCTGTCCCAAAGCATGGCCATCATCATTTTTTCAGATCCCACGGAAATGCCAATTTTGGAGGCGATGCTTTCCACACTCAATCGGCGATCCTCCAAAACAACTTTCTCAACTCGCTCGACCATGTTGTCAGACCGGCTGGTGCGGGCCAAGATTATATTTGGTTTGTTGTCACACGACGTTCGGCCTTCTTTGAACTGTCATACCCACGAACGCACATTTTTCACATTCATGACACCATCACCACATGTCTCACTCAACTGGCGATGAATTTCAGTGGGTGTTGTACCATGCAAGTGGAGAAAACGAATGATTACTCGCGGTTCTTGTAACGAAAACGTCACCATTTTAGGTATCAAAAACACTCCTCACTCTTGCCCACACCACTAGAGTTTTGTGTGCCGTACAGTGCTGCCATCTGTGTCACACATTCACAAAGAGTGCACATGTATTTTAAACTAAACTGCATGTGTCTATCTCCTCCCAGTCCTGAGAAAAAATATCGGAGACCTTAGAACTTGAACGCCCCTCGTACAAGTGATAGCACTGTTGTTGATGTCCACACTTGCAAATCACTAGCACATGCTAAGTCATCTCAGTCTTCAGTAGTTGTATCCTGACAACAGATTTTAACAGTAATTATGGGAGTCTCACTGCAAATGCAGCATACATAAAGTCAACTTTTCACAGCCACATTCTTGCAACAAACTCTTTTATTCACAGCCGGACATTCAACTGCACTGGTTGCCTCAGTTCTCTTCTTTATAACCACTTCACACAGACCGAATAGAAAACACCATTTCCAACAATAACTCTATTATGAACAAGTTAAATAGTACCATCCAGTGTAACTATTTAAGATTTTCTTATTTCAATTATTCATGCCCTTACATGTTTCGGTCTTCAGAGACCATCTTGAGATGGACACCTTTACTTCGATATTGTTAGAAGCCACCAGTCTTTACAATTACAGTGCTGTTCCAATACTCTAAAATATTTATAGTTAGTTAGTTAAGATTCTATTGGAATTTGTAAACCAGGCTGGTTCGTGTCGTCCCTCTTATTATTTCTTTTGACGGGGGCCAAATGTGTGCCACCTTGTCGTTCTCAAGAAGAGGGTTCTTTAATGTTAACTTTTTCATAATATTAGTGTGACAGACCAGAATGAATGAAATAAAAAATAACTATTGTTATAGAGGCATGTTTACTAATCCATTGCTTAGAAATGAGTTGCAGAACTCTGTTGTTCTATTGTTGTGTGCATTACCTAGCAATGACCCGCTGTTTACAGAGTCACTGCTTAGCAGTGGGCCTATATGCCAGAATATGTAGGGCTTGCAATTATTTTTAAGTTTTCAGAGACGGATGCCTTTTGGGGTTTCTGGAATACCATGCACAAAAGTAAATATGTTTAGGATGTACTGTCAGCAACTAAGTAGAAGTTATGATTTAGTAATCTCTCAGTTGAGAGATAAAAATACCCATAAAGCAATAAGCAAGAACCGAAGGTCTGTAACAATTGAAAATTCATGCATAAAATTAGTTTCTTCAGTATGTGAAGTATGAAAATTCATGTTGTGGTCTTCTGCATTATGACACAATATAGTCTGGTAGGTGGGTACCAACATTTTGAAAGAACTACCCTCAGGGTCTGAAGATTAAGGCAGTGTGCTCCTCAAAACATTGATGGGTACCTACCAGAATATTCAGTGTCATGACCCAAAACATCACTGTGTCAAGTTTCAACATTATTTGTAATACTGGTTATTTTGTTTTTTTGTTTTGTTTTTTTTAAGCCTCATATAGGCTCTCTTAATTCTTTCTTCCCCAAAACTGAGACAGTTTCTCTCTGTCGCTACTTTACACTAATACATTGTATTTGGAAGGTCTCACGATTGAATTCTGAAGTTAATCTGCCAGTCTTCATATTTATTAATGCCATTCCAGATCAGAATTTTGAAGATAATTGGCGAGTGTCCTTGGGAATTTATGTACAGAGCTTACAGTTTCTTGTAATCCATTTACCTGCTGGTAATGTTGAAATTAAGGTACATGTAACTGCCAAGTTGGGGGGCACAACATTAACTTGTGTCTTTTATGGATTTCTTGAAACTTGCCAGGCAAATGCCAGAATGTATATGTCATAGTCTTTTCAGTTCTGTCACTATTGCTCTTCCATATCTCATCGGACACTGTAACCTTAGCAGGCAATATGATAGAGAATAACAGAATATTGAGCCATGATGTAACTTCAGTGTGTTATATGAATTTCAGGGTTCCATTGTGCCAGGTCTTCAGTTTTGTATTTGGTTACATTTGGCTGCATGTTCTGACACCTCCAAGCACAGACATCACACAGCACTACACACTTGGAGTATGGGCAATTTGTCTCAGTTGTGTTATTGAGATGTGCTGTGAGCCAGTGTACCTAGTAGCTCAGTCATTCCTGTTTGTTAGATTCAAGGTAATGGCAGTTCCGTTGATAAATGTGTATTGGAGCGTAGTAATAATGATCCCATTTTGTATGCAGAAGTCCAGCAAATTTTATGTAATGACACAAAACAGTAAGATGCATACACATTGTCTTGCTCTGTGTAGAGTAAAGATTAACTGCTACCTGGTTTGGCCAGGCTGAGAAGTACTATAAAAAATTTACACTTAAGTTGTTGAATACATGAAGGAGATGTTATGAAGAAAATAGCTTGTAAAGAAAGACTTAGTTTTGCATAGTAAAGGTGTGTATTGAATGTGTACCGCTCCTGTGCGTAGCCTTTGCCGTGAGAGGATGTTTAGTAAGCCAGTGCCACCAGTGCCAGCTCTTATCTCTACACTATTCTGGCTTTCAGCTGCCATGTTACCATATTTACTCTTGAAGGGTGCAGTGTATTCTAATCCTGAATATGAATAGTTGGTTAGAATAGTGTTATGTATTGTCACCATGTGTCATATAAAATTTAATAATTTTTACACTTTATTTAACATAATGATGGTGACTGACTAGAAAGTTGAGATTGGTGGAACTGTAGCATGCATTTGAAAACTGAAGAATCATACAAAACCTTGGTTCCAAAATCTCAAGGGAGGAAACCACATGACAAACCTAGGCATAGATGGAAGGGTAATTTAACCTAGAGCTTGGAAGAACAGATTTTTAAGATGTGGATGGAATTCATCTAGCTCAGGTTAAGGTTAAATTATGGTCTTTTCACACTAGGTGAAGGGGTTCAAAAAAGTTGGCAGGTTCTTGACTAGATAAGTAAGAAAAACTGTACCATGAAAGTAGTTCATTACATTGAAATAGTTCACATTCAGAGCAAAACTAATTAAGAAAAACATATTACAAAATTGTGAAAGGCACTGACCTATTTCGTCACATTCAATTACCTATCAAAATTATCTTGTTTTTCTTGCAGCAGTTCATAGAGAGAATAGAATTTTACATTGAAATAGGAGAATTTTTCCTGCCATTTGATGTAATAATGTTATTTCATTTCATTTATTCACCTTCCATAAATCCTGTCAAGAGTACATGCTCATGCGGATGTGGAGATCATCCTAGTTACAGTCACGACTAAGGATTACAGTTGTCATCCACTAGCATACACATTTGTATAAAATACTGGTAAACATACAATATAATATATAAGTTAATTTTAGTGGTAAAAGTAATGGCAAACCTTATACAATTTTTACAGATTTATACAAGTCTATTTATTAAAAATTCAATAGTTAAAACACAGTGTCATTAATGAGTTTTGTATAACATACATTAATAATATAACAAATTGAAATAAAGGCTAGTATATACTATATCCCATATGGTCTTATTTTTATTTTTGGAATTCTGAATTTTATTATCATATTTTAGTTTTTTAGCCTCCTTAATGACCTTAGATAAAATTCTACAATATTCTTTATAATAGTTTCTTAATTCTAAATTATTACTGTTTCTACATGCCATATAGAGTACTCTTTTACGTTTACAGGAAGTTATTATTCCTATAGTAATCCAATCACTTATTTTATTTGAAATTTTAATTTTTTTTTAAACTGGAATAGTAAATTTTCAAGTAAGTGTCTAAAACGGAGTTAAACATTATATTAACATCATCACTAGAAAATGTTGAGTCCCATGTTTCATAACTTAGTTTAATTAAAAAGTCATTTATTGCGTGTTTGTTTATTTTCCTTATTATTTTAAATTGTTTAGCATGTGTTCTCATGTTTATTGTTTTAAATGTTATGGATTGTGCATCATGATCAGACAACCCATTTATTTTAGGCCATATAGAATAATTTTCCCTTCTAGAAATATCGATGAAAATATTATCAATGGCTGTAGCAGAATTTCTTTGAACTCTGGTGGGAAAATTTATGGTACTTATTCAATAAGATAACTAACTCGTTTTTCTTTTCACTATCAAGAAGGTAATTTTTATTAATATCCCCACAAATAATATATTCTTGTGTTGAGGTATATAGATTTCTAAGTATTGTATCTAGTTTTGTTATGAATGTATCAATGTTTCCAGTCGGAGCTCTATATATTGTAATTATACAAAGTCAGTTGGAGCTCAGGTTTAACTTAACAGCACATACCTCAAAATCTTTTTCTTTACAATATTTTTTTACATCTATATTTACAAATTTCAAGCTTGTGCATAGATAGATACTTACTACTCCTTTTTCATACAAGTTCCTACAATAGTTTGCTCCTAGTTTATAAGAATCTATGGATAACTGTTGTAATTCTAAGAAATTCATGTCATGTTCTGTAAAACATAATATGTGAGGGAAGGCTGGGTGTAGATGACTTAGTAGCTCATTTTCTTTCCCCCTTAAACCTCTCTTGTTCGATGAAAATTATTAATTATCCCACGCTTTCATTGTCAGTATAATGAACTTTGTTCTTTCAGGTGGTTTTAGATACAATCCATATATTAGTTCGAACAGCAACATTCACTCCACTCATCATTTATCGCCCACACCAGGCAGTTGTAGCGTTCTCTGTTGCACAGGTAAGAAATGCACATTTAAAAGCTGTATCACTATTCAACATAATTAACTGAAGACATTACTTGTTCTGAGCAGTGGTCAGTGTTTTACGTGCACAATACTGCACCCATAAAGACCAACAAGAAGGACTTGATCTTACAGTGATCAGAAATTCTCAGTCATGTTGGCATAATATTGTCATTGTGAATAACTGAATTTTAAGTGATTCTTATTATGCTATTGCATTGTTGTTATGACATTTATTTCTCTTGCTTGGGTGTCTCATTTTTCTTCCTTTTAGTCATTACAGTATCTTTTAAGTTTGTATTTACTCATGGTTGTGATTTCTTCTAATAAATGTCCTAGTATACAAAATTGGCATTGTAGTGTATTTATTTTAATTGCTCATTGCTGTGTTCCATTACTGATGAAGTAACACGGGATAAATTATATGATGTGTCAAGTTTGTGTTCAAAATTGTGCATAATGCAAATTTTGTTTATGGTTGTTAATTTGAACTTTCTTTCAGGCTAGTGTTTTAATTTCAGTTTCAGTTTCAATTTATTTAACATTCCATAGATCCACAGTACACGTAAGATATAGAACATGTCAAAATAGTACATAATATACAGAATAAATAAAACGAAGTAACTGAATAGAATAAAATGAAGTAAAATATATCAGATAGTTGATTCCAGTAAGTACATAATAATTAATACTATTAGAATTGACTGCGAAATAACAATAGAAACATTTGATCCAAGAAGTAGTCAAATATCTGACTACAAGCAAATCATAACCTACACCTAGTACTCCTAAAATACCGTAAGTATGACAATATAAAGTTCGATACTAGCTTTTGAATAGTCATTAACTTGTGCAGGTTTTATATTGAAAATATTCTTCTATGGATTAAAAATGTATATGGAGAAAATGTTTTAAACAGGTTTTAAATTTCCTAGGATTGTGAGATACCTCTTTGATGTGGGGAGGGAGATTATTGTAGACCCTAATGCCCATACAATACACTCCCTATTGGTATACAGTAAAGTTTGATATAGGCTTATAGAAATTATTGGTTTGTTTTGTACTTATATTGTGATTTTCTGAATTTAAAATAAAAAGATTTTTGTTGTTAACCACAAAAAGCATGGGTGAAAGAATATACTGTGATGCAAGAGGTAAAATCTCCAACTTTCTAAACAAATTCCTACATGAAACCCTACTATTGCAGCCAATCAGTATTCTAATTATCATTTTTTGCATTCTAAATATTTATAAACTATGGGATGAGTTTCCACAAATATATAAACCATAGGTCATAATTGTATTAAAATAGAAATAGTAAACAGTTTTCAAGGTATTGAGAGTCATGTATGATTTAATACTCATTATATAACATGCTGAGCTCAGTTGTGGGATAATGCATTCAACATGACAACTCCAGTTTATTGAATCATTTATATATATGCCAAGGAACTTTATATTAGACAAGGTTGTTATTGAATAGTTATTACAAACAATGTTTATATCAGTTGTGAATTTGTTTTAAGTTTTAAATTGCATACAATGGGTTTTATTAACATTTATTGAAAGTAAATTTCTTCTGAACCCTTTATATGCACAATTAATGGCATTAACCATATTATTTTGAAAATCCTTTAAATTTGAACCTTTAACTAATATATTTGTATCATCAGCAAATAATATAGGTATAGTACTATCATTTACAATTTTAGGCAAATCATTAATATAAATAAGAAACAACAACGGGCCCAAAACTGAACTGTGGGGATCACCATCAATTATCTTTCCCCATGAAGAGAAGCTTGTTTGATTTAATTATTCTTCCAAAACCTGAATTCTCTGATATCTGTTATTAAGATATGATTCAAACCATGATTTAGCTTTACCATTAATATAATAGTATCGGCCGTGCCATTGCTCAAGCAGTTAGTCGCTGGCTTCCCACTGCGGCGGCCCGGGTTTTATCCTGGGTCTGGTCAAGTGGGATTTGTGGTGGACAAAGTGGCGCTGAGGCAGTTTTTCTCCGATTACTTGTATTGTATTGTATTTTATTTCATCCATTTTGCTACGCAGTAACACTTGGACACTTCATTCGGTAATACAAGTTAACAAAATAAATCTACAAAGTTACAAGCATACTACCAACATTTGTTACAGTCATAAGCAATATATAAATACAACATTCCAAAAAATATACAAACTGCTATATACAGCTCATGAATGGCTATGACATCCAAACATAAGTACCTGCATCATCCACTCTTTTATTAAAACTAACAACTTCATTTATTGTGTAAAAAGAATGTTTCAATAAAAATGATTTTAAGTCTTTTTTAAAAGCTGAAAACCCCACTGAGTTTTTTAGTTTGTTTTGCACCTTACTATACAATTCTATCCCCATATTTACCACACTTTTTTTAAATAATGTAGTTCTGCAGAGTTGTACTTGAAAATCCTTGTTTATTCTTGTATCATAACTATGAATATTTATATTGTGGATCAAATCTGCTTTGTGCTTTTTTATGTAACATAACACCTCTAAGATATACAAAGATGTGACCGTGAGGATTCCATAATCTTTAAAAATTTGCCTGCATGACTCTTGTTTACCAAGTCCACTAATTATTCACAACACCCTCTTGTGCATCTTAAATACCTTTATACTATCACCCCCCCCAAAGAAAATATTATTCCATATCTCAATAATGATTGAAACTTTCCAAAATAAATGCCTCTTAACATATTTGGACTCAAAACCCCTCTTAGTGATTTAATTATGTAGGATGTTTTACTTCAGTTTACCCTGCCAATCTTCATTCACCAATTGCTCCACAATCACCCTCACCTATCATCTGGGATCTGGGGCTGGTACAATAGGCCAGAAGTGGCCACAGTGCAAGGAACTTAGTCCCACCCCACTAGCAATAAATAAAAGAAAATATCATAAAATTGTAGTTTATACAACAAAATATCATGGTTCAGACAATAAAATGCCTTTTCAAGATCAAAAAAGATACTACCTACTGCAGATTTAACGTACTAGTTAAAGCTTGCAGGGTTTCATTAGCTAGCTTATATAGGGCATTGCCTGTTGAAGAGGCATCTTCTGTTCATCTGCTAAGATACTATATTTCTTCAAATGCTCCTGGAGTTGGTTGAACATGACTTTTTCAATCACTTTTGAAAAAGAACTTAACTTAGATATAGGTCTGTAGTTAGAAATGCTAGACCTATCACCCTTCTTAAATAATGGTTTAACTACAAAGTTAAAGTTAAAGTTAAAGGTGAACTAATAAAAGATGAGCTTATTTTTAATAATTTAATAAATATTCCATCATATCCAGAGGAATTTTTGGATTTAAGGGATTTTATTATATTTTCAACTTTTTTGGAGGATAACAATTTTAGATTAATGTTTGGGAAAGGAGTCTTGAATGACTGCAGTAAATAATGAAGAGGAGTAGTTCATTATGTTTTATGTTAATATTTTTAGCTTATCTCTTGATGGTTACTAATTTGAGTCCTTTCAATATTTAAAGTGATAGCCTTATCAGTATTTCTGGTTCTATTGGATTCTAATTTAGTCCCAGATAGTTTTATTTTTGTTCAGGGTTTTATTCATTTTGTCTGCATAATTAAGTTTTTTTTTGCTTCCTTGACGGCAGATAAAATTTTGCAGTACTTTTTATAATAGTTTATGAGATCTAGGTTATTACTATTCCTACATGCTATGAAGAGTTCTCTTTTACATTTGCAAGAAGTTAAAATTCCTAAGGTATTTCAGTTATTATTATTATTATTATTATTATTATTATTATTATTTATTTATTTATTTTTTTCCAATGAGGACTCCTCTGTAGAGGAAAACTAGAATAAGAGATTTTCAAATAGGAGTCTAGAAAGGAGTTTGAACATTTCATTAACATTATCTATAGAGAAAACAATATCCCAAGTTTCGTAGCTTAATTTAAGAAGAAAATCCATTATTGTATGTCCATTAATCTTACTAATCGACATACATTTCTTGATAGGTGGTCTTAAACTAAAAGAATAAAATGTTATAATCTGAGCATTATGGTCTTACAGCCCATTAATTATTGGAGTAATAGAATAATTACCAGCCTTGGTAGTGTCAATAAAGATATTGTCTATAGCTGTAGCAGAATTATATTGAGTGTGGGTAGGGAAGTTGACTACACTTGTTAGATTGTAGGTTTTAAGCAAGGCTTCGGATTGGTTGTTTTTATCACTGTCAACTATGTAATTTATATTTATGTCACCACAAATAATAAAGTCAACGGTAACCATAAATAGTTTTTTAAGGATTGTGTCTAATCTGATAATAAAAGTATCAAAGTTGCCTGATGGTGCTATATATATAGCAGTTATATGTATATTTTTTTTTGTATTCAGGTATATCTTGATAGCACAGACTTTAAAATCCTTGTCCTTACAGTACTTTGCAAGGTCAATGCTTACATACCTTAGCTTTTTATATAGTAATATGCAAAAACCTCCTTTTTCATATGATGTTCTACAGTAGCAAACCCCTAAATTATAACTATCTAGAAAAATTTGTTGTAGTTTTAGGTAGTTCATGTGATGTTCTGAGAGACACAGTACATGTGGGAAAGTCAGATATAATTTAATTAACAGTTCATTTACTTTCCCTCTCAATCCGCTTATAGTATTTTGGTGATAAACAGTTAAGGGTACTGATCCTTTTGATTGAAGGAAGTAATTTATTTTGAAGTTTGGTGGTACCACTACTAGTGAATAAGGTTTTTTCTCTACAACTGTTTTCACAGATTAGTATGGGTGAATTTCCTAAGTTGTTGCTCGAACTTACACCACCAACACTTCTTTCACTCTGGTTGACAAGTTTGTGATTTTCATTTACCGTACAAAAATCTTGTTTCCTAAAAATTGGAAGATTTTGATCTAGTTGAAGTATCATATGTAAGAACCCTGTTCTGAACTAGCTCAGAGCAGTACATGTTGCCACAAACTATATCTCCAACCTCTTTTAATATTACAATTCAAGCTAGGTTTGCACCTACTAAGCAGTTTCTTTGCATGATGATTCACACTAACTGTTTTTTATATTGCTTGCTACCTCTCCAGTCTTTTAACTCCTTAGTTTCAGCAGTGTAATATTAAAAGTTTCTCTTTGCTGTAAGAGTTTTCCGCTTTTTTATGTAGGTAATCTCTTATTCTGTCAATGGGGCATGCGATGGTGTGGTTGGTTGAGGCTGGAACTGGAAGGTTACAGTTTCGATTCCTGATGTCATTGGATTTTTCAGTTGACTGAGTCATTCCAGCTGCCCTATGACCCTGGGGTCAACTCAGCCTCTAACAGAGTACCAGGAATATTCCTGGGGTGGCAGACATGTAAGGCTGACAAGCTTGTCACCATCTATCGGCCAGTTGTTTAGAAAATGTGGGTACCTTGACATCTCACAAACCTATGGTCCTCCGCGGCCTATTATAGGGATAGCTGTACCATTAACTTACCTTATTCTCTCCATAGCACCATGTGAATGAAAGGACTGATGTATGCCCTGAAAGTCCAGGTTATACTCATGATCTCTGTAATGGAATGTTTTGATGCAGGTACTGGCAGCATGTGTTTACACACTGGGGTATTATGTGTATTTTCATTACTATATCACCAACCTGATGAAGAAACGAGCTGCACAGAAGAAGGTTGATTCAAATGAAAAGCCCCCAGTGAACCTGAGGTTTGTTCATAGAGACTCGGTTACAGAGCTTGAGGAGGAATTCCCATTTGAATCCTTAATGGATTTCCTTCCAGCAGCAATAGAAAATCAGGTATTGTTACAAGAATATTGTAAATGTTTAAATATTGACAAAGTTAATAAAAAGTCCGTCGAGTGTAACAATTTGTAGGTCACTTCTTTATCACTTCTGCCTTACATGTTTCGGTTTAATAAAACCATCATCAGAGGCACATAGTACAAGCATGAAAACACTGCCGTTGTTTAAGATGTACACAGTTATGTTTGCTGCGTGAACGCTGCTACAATATGTCGACGCGTAAAAGCACAACACTTGCTAGGATTGTTGAATGCACATTCAATTCTCACATTCGTCCGAAACTGCCCTCAAGTTAAAACGCCAATGTTAAAATATTTAAAATTTAAAACATTTGAAGTAAAATGTTAAGCTCCTCCTTGTTAATTCATCCCGAAGATGGGAGATGTCAGCTTGAGGATGTATGGCTTATGGTTAGATGTTTCCTATGTGCTGTGTGTTATTAACTTTGTGATTGATAGTGTAACGGACCAAAAATGAAACAATTAAAAAAATTTAAATATTGACTTTACAACCATAAAAGAATTTTTAAATCTGTTACAAAACAGGATATGATTTTATTATATTTTTTATAAACGTATATACATCTTGCAGTGCAACAGGATGCAGCAATATAACATATGTACATCTTATCCACACACAGGACTTTTACAGAATTTTCCTCATAAAAGTACCAGTGAAGATATGTTTTGATATCATGCATTTCATTGAAGTTCAGAAAGATCTGTTAGAAATTTTTACTATATTGGAAATATGAATTTTCATTTGCACCTTATCTTCATGTTAGTAAATTTTGTGCCCAGATTCCTGAAATTTAGAAAGATGCCTGCTCTGCTAATGATGAATAATTGTATAATCACAATATTCATTTTTTGGTGGGGTATTTTTCATGGGTCTTTGAGAAGTATTTTTAGAAAGTGGAGTATATTTTATTATTGATTCTTCTCCAATCTCTCACATAATTAGTGAAAATAAAGTGTTTTGGATTACATATTTTGTGGAATTGCCCCATTTTATGAAAATTGTGAGGTATAATATTGTGTCCTATAATTGAGATGAAATATTGTTAGATTTTGTCATTAAAATGTTGATTCTCTAATTCCATCTTATGTAATACATTGGACATCATCATTAAAATTTTGTTATGTGTAATACCATTCAGTGTCATGCATTTGACACTGACTCACTCTTAACTAGGTATTAGGAGTGAGGTCTGTGTTGAATATTTATAAATGAAAGATGCATTTATAGGTGGCTTCATTGTGATCTCAAAAAATTTCAACCTTGTATTTTGGTCAGATGTTAGGAAATATGACATGTTTTCATAATTAATATTTGCAGCATTTTAAATTATGTGATTTGGCTGTTCTTAGCATTACTTTGATGGTGGATCATTTGTAAGATGATTGATTGATTGATTGATTTATTTCGTCACTGTAGATCATTGTACATGATATATGACAAGTCAAGTTAATTCTGAATATTAACAATTTGATATATAAGTAGATTAAAATTACAATAGTTACAATTTTTTACATTCTTATTTGTGGAGAATTTGATGGAATGAACATTGGCAGGGGAAACCGAAGTACTCGGAGGAAACCTGCCCCAGCGCCATTTTGTCCATCACAAATCCCACTTGCTCAGATCACAGTGGTGGGAAGCCAGCGACTAATCGCTTAAGCTATGGCGTGGCCTTAGAATAATGATATTGATAGCTAATGTGATGTTCTCAGCAGATTGGTGCCCTTCTTGATGGCCTGGTATTCTCTATCTCTCTCTAAGCGGCCTACGTAGACGTCCCTCCATCTCATGATGTCCTTTCTATCACATCCAACATGGTGTCTTGATTCCTTTAAGCAGAAGAGAACTGCGCAGTATACATTCATAGCATGCTGGTATAAGCTCAACAAGTCACTTATTCTTGAATTATCTGGTAATATTGATATTAACTAGGATTTATCCCCAAACAAGAAGAATTCATCTATACTATAAAAACAATGTTCAAGGAGAAATGTTTTCAAAGTCTTTTTAAATTTGTATAGTGCTGGTATGTCCTTTATATATTGCGGCAAGTGGTTTAAAAGACGAAGTCCAATATTATTGAAGTTGTTTTTACACAGACTCGTCCTACATGGAACTATGAATAAGTTGTCTTTTTTTCTTGTATTGTGTGAGTGTACTGCTGAATTAGTGATGAAAACATTCAAGTTGGATTTCATGTAAACTAATATTTCATATATATACAGACTTGGTAGAGGTAATATATGTAACAATTTAAAATATTGTTTGCAGCTGGTTGTTTTTTGTATTTGCATTATAGTTCTAATAGCTCTCTTTTGTATCTTAAAGATCAATTTTGCATTCGCTGAATTGCCCCAGAATATCAATCCATATGATAGCAGGGATTGAAAATACGCATAGTATAAAGCAAGAACAGTCTCTAATCCTGATACTTTTTTGACTATTCGCAAGCCAAAACATATTTTACATAACTTACTTGCTAGTGTTTGAGTATGTGTGGACCAGCTTAATTTTTTGTCTAACGACATTCCCAAAAATTTGGTATGTTCTGTATAATTGATGACTTTATCATATAGTTTTATTGGTGGGCATTCTGGCTGTATTTTTTGTGGTTGGTGAAAGGATATTGCTATCGTTTTTTCTTTATTAATAATTAATCTGTTACTTTCAAACCATTCTGTGAGTTTATTTATTAATGCGTTTATTTTCCTTTGGACAACATTAACACTATTTCCTGATATAAAAATACTTATATCATCGGCAAAAAACGTTAGTTTTCCTTGTTCAATACCTGCTTCTAGATCATTAATATATAGCAAAAATAAAATTGGTCCAAGAACAGAACCTTGTGGGACTCCATGTCTTACGGGTCTACTCTGAGATAGATAGTTAATGCTTACATTCGCTTCTCTACATCTATATGTGATTTCCACTTTCTGTTCTCTTCTTTCTAGATATGTTTGAAACCATTTTAGTGCAACCCCTCGTATTCCCATTCTTGTCATCTTTCTTAGCAATATGTCATGATTAACTAGGTCAAACGCTTTTGACAGATCCAGAAATAACCCTATACTTACTTCTTTCTCATCTAGCGATTTATAGACCCCTTCTATGAACTCTGCAATTGCTGTTTTTGTTGTTTTTCCTTTGCAAAACCCATGCTGTTTGTTACTAATTAAACTGTGGTTATTTAAAAAGGATAAAAGTCTTTTATGCATAATTTTTTCAATTATTTTTGAAAAAACAGAAATTAGTGATACTGGTCTATAATTCGCAACATCCGTTTCGCTTCCTTTCTTATACAAGGGTTTCACTTTTGCCATTTTTAGCTGGTCAGGGAAGTATCCGGTTGAGAGTGACTGATTTATTGTATATGTTAAGGCAGATATTATCTTGGGATAACATTTTTTGATGATATACTCTGGGATGTCATCTATACCTGTTGATTTTTTGTTACCAAGTCTTTTGATTATGCCAACCACTTCCTCTTCAGTAGTTGGGATTAAGAACATACTGTTGTTGTTATACTTTACTGCATTGTCATTAGCTTCTTTGTTTGTATATAATGATTTGTCGTTTAAGATTTTGTGTGCAATGCTAGTATAATATTCATTGAAAACATTTGCTATAATTTTTGGATCCTGTGTATTTCCTCCTTCAGTGTTTATTTCAATATTTTTATTTTTTTTCCGACTGCCTAGCTCCTCCTTTATTAGGTCCCACATAGCCTTTGGTTTATTTCCGGAAGTTCTTATTTGTATGTTATTAGATAATTTTTTTGCTTCACTGATCACTTTGTTATAAATTTTCTTGTACTGACCATAGTATTTTTTAAATTCTTCTGATATATTCCCTTCTTTCATTAGCCTATTAAGAAATCGAAGTCTATTTCCTGATACCCTTATACCTGAGGTAATCCATTTGTTTTCATGCTGTTTACTTTTTACCCATTTTTTTGGTATTGCTATTTCATAATAATACTGAAAAGTATCTAGAAATTCATTATATGCATTGTTCGCTGATTTTTGTTTAAAAACAAGCTCCCAAGTCTCTTTGTCTAGTAGATAATTTAGATATTGAACATTTTCTTCACTATAAGTTCTGACCATTCTATATTCTCTCTCTGCTCTGGCTTGCCTTTTTTGATTCTTATTCTCTTGCTGCATCTGTACTTGTAATATCTGCGCGCTATGGTCAGAAAATCCTGTTTCAATAACCTCAAATTTATATTCCCATAAACCCTTGTTTAATATTATTTGATCTATGGCCGTTCGACTTCTGGAACTGATTCTCGTTGGAACATCCACTATTGCTTCCAAGCCGTAATGTAATGTAATGTAATGCATTATGCTGATTTAATAACAGAGAAGGCAAGAATACTTTGAATAAAGGTTTGTAGCTGGAAATAGCATTAGGTTTGAATCAGGTTTGCTACCCCCACATTAGAAGAAGCCCAAATCATTGTTATTTGATTAAATTCCTAGAGATTGAAGCTATGCACATGTGATTCTGGAGACATTGTTTCTTTCAAAGTTAAAAGAAATGTAGTGGAAATATATATACTTCATTTAGCATCAAAGTCTCTAGTGACAGGTCCCAATTTGCTGCAAGTGAGTGAAGTAATTTTCATGTCACACACAGGCAGAAATGAAGATTATGGAGGCTTCATGTTAATGGCCTGAAGTGACTCTCAGTTAGATGTAAATGGGATAAAATCTCCTCCCACACCAGTAGAATGTGAGGATACCTAAAAGAGATACTTGGCAGTTTACTTCATCATGTCCAAAATTCAGGTTTGACTGACCAATAATGCAGTTTCAAGTAACCTTTTAGATCTAATTATTTTGCTGGAAAACCAAAGACAATCCAGTGAGCAGTTAAAATCCAGGAGTTACTTATTACTTGGACTTGGACAGAACAAGCTGATGATTGTCACTCTCACATTCTGGGCTTAGAAATTTTGAAAGTTCACATATATGTAAAAGTACTATGAATCACTATCAGCAATTTGGCTGACAGTTGTTTATGTTCTTTCATGTTAAGTGAATTACTGGATCAGATGAAGTTGACCTTCAACATAAAATAAAAAAACGTGATGACAGAGTTAAATATATCGTTCAAGAAAAATAATCTTATAATAAATTTTGAAAAAAACATTTGCTATGTCATTTCTACCAAAACAAATTAGAGTTCCGTTAAGACCACTAATGAATTTTACCTGTAAATCAGAACTAAGATTTTTAGGTATTTACATCACAGAAAACCTAAAATATGGTGCACATGCTCAATTTTTAAGAGCTAAGCTATGCAAAGTAGTTTATATGATAAAAACATGAAAAGAAACATTTAGCCCATATATGATAAATATCTTTTCAAATTTTGATTCCTGTCTGCGGTACGGTACTATATTATGGGGAGGGGATAATGATTGTGACAAATGCTTTAAACTGCAAAAGAAGGTCCTTTGAATTATCAGTGGGGTTAATAATCGAACATCATGCCAACATATTTTTATAGGTTATAATATTTTAACATTGGCAGCGCTATACATTTTTGAAGTGATATTTTTCATTAAAAATATAAATATTAAGGTAAAAAATGTGGACATCCATAATTACAACACGTGAAGGAAACTAAATTTACATGTAAATCATTGCAATACAGTTCTTTATAAGAAAATAATTATAAATATAGGTATCACCTTGTATAATAAGGTCTCTGAGCAGATACAATTAAAAAATATGTAACTCTTTTAAGAGGAACTTAAAATCCTTGATGTTGAAACATTCCATTTATTCTGTTGATCAATTTATATCCCTAAAATTCTGAAGTGAGTGTGTTATGGTTTTGTGTTATGACAAATATCTTGTCATCACTTAATCTATAAAAGAAAATGTTCGATATTGGGTTTCTTTTGATATTGAATTGTTCAAAGTGGGATGATGTATGATTGATTTGTATGAAATCTGTAGGTAATTTAGGTTTTGTAGTATTGCTGACTGGTTTCTTAACTAACCAGTTTGTTATTTTAATATGTAGTAACTGGCTTGTTCTGTATCCAGAGGTTGTATCTCCAAATATGGATTCTTGGACCAAATAAACTGATTGATTGAATGATTCAACTTCTGACATATCTGTGTACAACCAGATTTGTTTTTGTGTTAAGATTCAATTAAACTTCTGATTTCCTGCTGATATTGACTTATCATCTAACCTCCTGAATTAACTATTTACGTTCCTTCATTTACTGATGCCAACAACAGCTTTCTAAGGTTAAAAGTCAGACTTACATCTATTTGAGATGTCCATTCCAGCACCCCAGCCCAGAGCATCTGAGCAGAGCTAATGTCATCCAACATGGGTAAAGATGGCTAGGGCTACTGAGTAATAAATGCTGAGATGTCTTCTGAATATACGTTCAACTCATAATTGATAGTAGGGGGCAGCACAAAATGTTTCATGTGCTGTGAATTTTCTCAGTAAGAAGTAGATGACAAGATACTTTGTTTCTGTTGACAGCCAAGCATCAACCATGGCCTTGCAAGATTAACATGGAGCTTCTTCAAGCAAGGCATCATGAAACAGATTCTGACAGAAGGTGAGAGGTACATCATGACACTGTTCTCCGTATTAACATTCTCTGAACAGGGTGTATACGACATTGTCAACAACTTGGGGTCTCTCGCAGCCCGTTTCCTGTTCCGACCAGTAGAGGAATCATCATACTTCTATTTCTCACAGATGGTGGCAAGAGATACAACAATACAGGAGCAGAATCAGGTGCATCTATATCTCCTCAATAAATGTTACCAGCAATCCCCTACCCCCCATTTCATTTCATTTCATATGTTTGCCTTTTGAAATATTACAAAAACTGTCATGCTCATTTTATTCATTCTGGTGTATATGAATTGTGCCTAGTGAACTTATATGAGATCACCCACTTCTTCCTTTTGATGTTACATGCAGCTATTTCCATTGAACTGGATCATATTTACACCTATCGCAGTAGTACTAAGAAAATTGCTATTATTAATTTTGTTGATTATTGTGTTTTTGAATGTACCTAGTTCTCATCAGTTTTAAAGAAGAGCTCACATACAGAAAGGTAACCTTGGCCTCTTTGGAAACTGTTAACCTGTTAGGTGGATATGATATGAGTTTTACATTTAGCAGTGTGAACATAACTGTATACGAGGGGGGACCCAAAAATAACCGGAAACGACCTGTTGCGCGCGCATGCTTTGTAGTTACGAGTTGTGCTGCTAGGTGGTGTTAGCTGGGGGTCTCCCGCGACTGTTAGTGAGCTGGCGTCAGTCTGAGTTAAGTGGTTTGTCTGTGGTGCTCTGTTGTGTGCGTTCCTGTTTCAACCCTTTGGCGATTAGTGAGATGGCCGACCAGAAGGAACAAAGAGTGTGCGTGAAATTTTGCTTTCTGTTAGGGAAAACTGCA